TGGCGAAACGTGAAGGCCGCCCAAACGCTGTTCTCGGGTTGGGTGTGTGTGTGTGTGTGATGCTCGGCTCGAGTCATATTCTCTAGAGAAAAGGATGAGCTGAGAAGAGGCGTGTTTCCGCCCGTTGATCTGCCGTGGCACGTCGCCTGCTTAAGCGAGGCGGGGACAAATGCAAGCTGGCAGGCAGGCAAGCAAGCAACATGCACTGATTGTGGACTGTGACAGAGGAGAATCGAGCCTACAATTTGGCCTATCAAAAAGTGCAAAAGTGCCCAAGCCTGGTCGAAACCGACCCGGGACATTCATTGGAAACAAATCGCTGAGATGCCCCGCGCGCCATGTCCCGGTTGCTCACGTTGGCGTCTCCATCGGAACCGGCGGGAGGACCTGAGTGGGTGAAACTAGATTCCGGCCAAATCACCCGCCGGTCCTTGCAGCGGAAACTACCGGAGGTACACTTTTGAGGGAAAATTGCCCCTTTCTGGCGAAAATACGAAATACTTCACTGAATCTTCGCATCTTGGTTCGGTGTCTGATCGGAAACTGCTTTGTAGTGCCAAACAGATCTGGTGACAAACAGACCAAGCCGGCTGTGTTCTCTGTGTCAAGATGCATGATATGAGTATGCATAATATGAGTGCTTCTCAAAATGGTGGAGCGCTTTTGGTTGGTGCGTGAAGGTAAAGCACAAGGAAACCAACCACTTCAGCGAACCAGGAATTTGAGAAGCCTTCATATTATGTTCACGCTATGCGAATCGTTGAGGATCCTTGATTCTAGCTTGCTGCGTTCGCATTTACCTGTCAGCGCTTCAGGGATAGAGCCAAAAATGGAAGGAGAGGAAGAAAGAGCCTGCGAAGCGCCTTTTGGCCATGATAGAGTATGCACACTGGACTGCTCATATGCTGATCACACGCTGAAAGGGAAAGAGCAATCAGCAACTGGATGTACTTGCTGGTTCTCAGGGAATGAGGGAATGAACGCAGGGGTCTCCTTAAAGGAAACCACAAGGCATGGTTTATAAGGGTCATTCCATTTCTCATTCCCTACTTATGGCACCAGCAAGTTTAAGCCAACCCTTCCAAAGGGCCCTCAAGGGTGAGCTCGCGTTACCTCTAGGTGAGCTTGTCGTCAATTGCCTACCAAGTTCCACGTTGGCAGAGTCCAGCCGGTCTTTCATTAACCTGGCACTTCCTGGGTCACCCGAAGAGCTTCTACTAACCTGGAACCCCCAAAAAATACAAGCTTGCTGTAGTTCTAAGATTCTGGAAGGGATTGTAGATAGTACGGTGATGAAAACGCCATCTACCTTAACCCAACTGGCGCTTGGGTTCAGACTAAGGAGATATTTTGTGAGCAGCGCGCAAAGCCCATTGGCTTTTGGTATTTCCAACATGGCCTTAAAGTTTCTTGTCGGACCCCATTGCAACACCATAAAAACCGGGTAGAATCACCCTAGAACGGCAACAGGGGGGCTTGGGCGCACATGCTTTCTGCCTTTGCCAAAAAGTTGAGATCTCTAGGCCAAATGCGCATGTGCCCCTCCCTTGCACCAAGGCACTCTCAAAGTTCCCCACTTCGTCCAGGCAGATGGACCTGCCATGCCAAGGGACCAACCTGGACATTTCGGCCAGCAAAACGGCGATCAGCTCCAATGCTATCGCTTCAAGCCTTCGGGCAAGACCTGCACCGTTGATGCACTCCTGTAGGTCTCAATGCTTGATCCTAGCCTTTGCTTCGAGTGGAGTTTCCAGCATCCAGCGTGAGTTCTGGAAGCTGAAGAGGTCACCTCCAAGCCGTGTCTTCAAAAAGAGACACCACCTCAGCGCAGAAATTCGCTGGGCTCAAAGATCGTGAAGCTGCGCTCTCAGCAATCCCACGACCGGTGATCTCGAAGACCATCCGAAAGCCAAAAGTCTCCCGTCGAACGATCGTGGCCTGGCCGGCCGCAAGCCTTGTTTCTGGCCTCAGACACACCAAACTTCTCAGCTGAATTCGCAGAGTGACCTCCCGTCCAGGCCAGGCGGGCGCAGTCTCCCATTACGTCGTCGCACGGCCGAGAACGCACTCAAGTCGACCCTTCCTCAACTCGCTCGACGCGCTTCTTCAAACTGCACTTGCTCACTCTCGACAGAAGCGTAGCTTTCTGCCATGCACCTCTACAAGACGTCAACCGCCTCAGGCCATACACAGGCCAAGGCCAAGATGCTATTAGCAGCTGAAAGCCAGCGCAGAGAATGTAATTCAGCAATTCTTCTAGTTTGACGGGTTGCGATGCCTCATCAGCTACAACGAGCAAGATTGAGCTGACAGGGTTCGCTGCTGCCTGCGTTCTCACAATGGTCTGGTTTCTTGGGCGATGGTTCGATGATTGTCGAGTCTGGACATCCCTCTCATGAATTTGAAAGTATTCATTGCCTTCCTTTGCCTCCAAATCCTTCTCCTTTTCTGCGAACTTGGCCATGTCCTTTCCCCTGTCCTTTGCGTCCCTTTCCACATCCTTTGCCGAATCCCTTGAAGCCTTTGTGGCTGCCGAACCTTTGCCCCTTGCCATGTTTGCCCTTGCCTTGGCCCTTCAAGAGCGCCCTGTTGGCATCATCCACCAGCACCTCATCCCCTATATACTCTCGGTCAAAGCCATTTGTCACCACCTCCGTCGCCAGCAACGGACCCCGCTGCCATCGGAACACCACGGAGCCCACCCTCGCGTGGACGATGCGTCAGAAGGAGTGGCGCGGGTCAAGCAGTATCCGCGGGGCGCAAGGTGAGCAAACACAGCAGGTGAGATAACTCGCAATCTTCTGGGCCCCAGAAGAATTTGATCAGAAAGCTGGACATGGTTTGCATGCGATTTCATGTCCAACATGTTTAGCCATGGACCTGTATAAGTGTACGGTGAGTAAGGGAACCCCCCCCCCCTCCCCAGTTCGGCCCCCCCTGAACGGGCTCCACGTTTAGAGGGTGCTCCTTTGAAAATTCACAGAGGACACTCAGCTTGGCCAACTCCTTCGGCCGAGGTTTTTTTCCACGCCTGGACGCACCTGCGCGGATCCGGTTGAGCGGCGCGGATGGGACCCGGGACTTGGCGCTAGGCCCGACTCTGACACGTCTCTGAAGATTGGACCACCCCCAAACTGGCAAGAAGGGGTGCCCCTGCTTGCCCGCCTGAAAAGGGTACCCTCCAAAGAAAGAACGAACCCGCTTGTTTGGAGGCAACGAATCACGCATAGATCCAATGTGGACAATGAATGGGGAGTTCCCAAAAGTGCTCGGGATCCGCGCCAAACTGAGAATCCCCACCCCGCTTATCATCCACGGGCGTGTGAATTCTGGTTCTCAGCACCAACTGTTTTCCATGCATTTGTTTACTGCTCACGGTCAAGCTGACAAGCATTCATTCAAGGTGCCCAGCGTCCGTTCAGACTGTCCGAATCGTGGTCCAAAAAGATCAGGTTTTCCCAAAGCCAAACACCGGCCTACCTTTTGTTGAGTTTCCCTTTTGGAACTTAGCAACCAGCTAGCCAACAAACTAGGGGGACCAGACCTGGCAAAAAAAAGAAAAGAAAAAAGAAACCTGATGTTGCATGTTCAAAGACTCATCCAAAAAAAACAATGTCATCTGGCCAGGGCCAACTCCTTCCCGGCCATTCGAGCTGCCCTTTGGGGGCATCCGGGCCCCTGCCCTGCCTGGATGCTGCGCATCCTCACGCATAGTAATCGGTGACACGGCGTCCTTCTTCTTTGGGAGGTTGGGCTTTGGTCCTCTTAATACTTGAGGTACTTGGTTATGAGCCTGCAAGTTGGCGTCAAAGTGTCCATGACACGTAGGGGATCCCCTAAATCAGCACACGGCATCCTTGCGACCTAAAGAACGCCTTTTTGCGCTGCTGGAATAAGGGTGTGTGTTTTGTTGAGGCTGCCCTTTTTATGTTGGTTGGTGTGCATAACCAGGACAAACCAATGAAAAATTAAAATAAACATAATATGAGGACATCTTTGTTGGACTCCTTGGCCATGGGCGCCAGGTGTCGCAGCGTTGTGCCCAAGCTTCCGAGAGAAAACACCCGGGCGCTGTCCCGCAAGGGGCATGACAAATCCGCGAAATCGGCCTTTGGTTTGCCTTTGTCTAAACATAAGCCACCCGCTCCCCCTCAAAAACAAAAACGGAGTTTAAAATGGGTGGCAGCTTCTTGGATGTTTCTTGGTATCCCTCGCTTGGGCCCCCCACCTTGCGGCTCTCCTGGATCGGAAAAAGAATCCAACGCCCGGGCAGGTTGAGAACAAAATCAGCTCTCGAGTTGGTATCCTTTTTGGGGTGGTTTTACTCGGAACCCAGGAGGCCAACCATTGTGGGTCACCTATTCTGAGACAAACCCAAATCAGTTTAGGTGGCGTCCAAGAGCAACTACAACTCTGCAACCGTCTGAAAAATCCCAAAATCGCAGAGAGCCCTGAAACACTTCCGGAGCCTTGGGCAAAAGAACCCAAGTTCCCATATCCAAAAACAATGGGTCAAGCCGTCAAGCCGTACGCATGCCAGAACTCGTCAATGCCAGGCAAAAATCGATTCCTAGGTCTTCCAATGGACATACACGATAAATTTAGCTGGCCCTAACTAAATTCTAACAGCTGGGGTCGTTGTGCAATCTGGATCTATTAGAACGGTTTAGGGTCTCCTCCCCCCAAAAGCCCTCCCGGCCTGGAAAGTCTCATAGCCATCGGCCTGGCCGAGCTTAACAAGTGGTTTCCAACCCTCGGACCGGGCCCCAAAAGTGTGTTGTGATATACAGCCCATGAGAAAAACACTCAAAGGTATATACCCCCGATAGTTTGGGGGGAATGATTTCGCGAGAGGAATGAGGAAACCACCTTAGATCCCAGAGTTTCAAAATAAATCTACGGGCCAAGGATCCTGCAAAGGACATCATGCCGCCTTCGGTGCAAAAAAAACGATCTTGCCAAATTGAAATTGCGTAGGTAAGCTGACCCGCAAGTGGTTTTACTCGCTCGACCAGCGCAATGCTAAAAAATCCCAGAATGGCTCACGCCCTTTCTCCGGGCTCGCGGCGTCGCCGGGGTGCGCCCCCGACTTCTCAGCCTTGCGCTTCAGTCCGCGGATGTCGCGAAACTGGCCCTTGACGAAGCCTACCAAGTTGCCGCCCAGCATGGGATCGCCCCAGGTGACGATCCGGCCATCCGCCCTGAGAAGGATGCAAGAAGCGATGACAACCAACCATTGATCAAAGTTGAAACCATGGCGGTGTATTGCCCTTACAGAGAGATCAAAGGAGATGGTTCCAACAATACTGATGCAATGCCGGTTCAGCCCAATTCAACAAGGGTTGAAGCGCCCTGCGCCTGACAGCGGCGAAGGCTTTGCTGCTGGCCACAACCTGCTGGACATCTTGCAGCTGGTCCTGCACGTGCGCGCTGTGCCCGCCCCACCGGCTCTGGCCCCAAGTCACCACGTTGCCCGAGGCCAAGATGGCTGCAAAAGCCTGGCAAGAGATCCAAAAACGATCGCAGCAGAATCAAAATACACAAGTAGTAGCATTGCCAGTACTAGTAGTAGTACTAGTAGTAGTAGTAGTAGTAGTAGAAGTAGTAGTAGTAGTAGTAGTAGTAGCAGCAGCAGCAGCAGTATAGTGGTAGTGGTAGTGGTAGTGGTAGTGGTAGTGGTAGTGGTAGTGGCAGCAGTAGTAGTAGTAGTAGTAGTAGTAGTAGTAGTAGTAGTTCTAGTTGTTCTAGTTGTTCTCGTAGCGTAGTACTTGCAGTACTAGTAGTACTAGTAGTAGTAGAACAACAACAACAACAACTACTAATACTACCACCACTACTACTACTACTACTACTACTACTAGTAGTCGTAGTAGTCGTCGTAGTCATAATTGCAGTAGTAGCATAGTAGTGTTGGTGGTGCTGGTAGCAGTCGCAGTAGCAAATGGCCACAGGCACGCCTTGGAGGAGGCGACCAGCTGCTGGACATCCTTCAACTTCACCGGATCCCCGCCAGCCGTCGGAGCACCCCAGGTCACCCAACTCTTGAAATTCAGAGCTGCAATTCTGAGGACTCTGCTGAAACAGCCAGTACTAGTGGTATTGCCAGTACTAGTAGTAGTAGTAGTAGTAGTAGTAGTAGTAGTAGTAGTTGTAGTAGTAGTAGAAGCAGTAGTAGTAGTAGTAGTAGCAGCAGCAGCAGCAGCAGTATAGTGGTAGTGGTAGTGGTAGTGGTAGTGGTAGTGGTAGTGGTAGTGGCAGCAGCAGTAGCAGTAGCAGTAGCAGTAGCAGTAGCAGTAGTAGTAGTAGTAGTAGTAGTAGTAGTTCTAGTTGTTCTAGTTGTTCTCGTAGCGTAGTACTTGCAGTACCAGTAGTACTAGTAGTAGTAGAACAACAACAACAACAACTACTACTACTACTACCACCACTACTACTACTACTACTACTACTACTACTACTACTACTACTACTACTAGTAGTCGTAGTAGTCGTCGTAGTCATAATTGCAGTAGTAGCATAGTAGTGTTGGTGGTGCTGGTAGCAGTCGCAGTAGCAAATGGCCACAGGCACGCCTTGGAGGAGGCGACCAGCTGCTGGACATCCTTCAACTTCACCGGATCCCCGCCAGCCGTCGGAGCACCCCAGGTGACCCAACTCTTGAAATTCAGAGCTGCAATTCTGAGGACTCTGCTGAAACAGCCAGTACTAGTGGTATTGCCAGTACTAGTAGTAGTAGTAGTAGTAGTAGTAGCAGTAGTAGTAGAAGTAGTAGTAGTAGTAGTAGTAGTAGTAGTAGCAGCAGCAGCAGCAGCAGTAGAGTGGTAGTGGTAGTGGTAGTGGTAGTGGTAGTGGTAGTGGTAGTGGTAGTGGTAGTGGTAGTGGTAGTGGTAGTAGTAGAAGTAGTAGTAGTAGTAGTAGTAGTAGTAGTAGTAGTAGTAGTTCTAGTTGTTCTAGTTGTTCTAGTAGTACTAGCAGTAGTGGTAGTAGTAGTAGTAGTAGTAGTAGTCGTCGTCGTCGTCGTAATAGTCATAATTGCAATAGTAGCATAGTAGTGTTGGTGGTGGTGGTAGCAGTCGCAGTAGCAGTAGCAAATGGCCACAGGCACGCCTTGGAGGAGGCGACCAGCTGCTGGACATCCTTCAACTTCACCGGATCTCCACCAGCCGTCGGAGCACCCCAGGTGACCACAGTCCCATCACGCCGCAAGGCGGCAAAGGCTTCCCCTGGCAGGGGGGTGGGTGTCCCGGATTGAGGCTCCAACTCTTGAAACTCAGAGCTGCAATTCTGAGGATTCTGCTGAAACAGCCCTGGTTCAAGCAGCCTGGTTCGAGCCCCCTCATCTCTCACTTAGGAGATGAAAATCCAAGGTTAACCTGTCAGGTTGCCATGAGCAAAAGTGGTTACCAAAATCGGAAAACCAAAAGGTCAGATCCCCCGATTCGCTTTGGACATTAGGTGAGTCAAAACAAAACTATCACCAAAAAACAACTGGGCTAAAAGTGGCTTCCCCCAGGGGCGGTCCGGATTCAGATCCCAAATACGCTAGTTCATGAATGATCAGTTATTGTAAACATATCATAAGGATATTGCGACTTCAGTTATTGATCCCCAAACTCGCCCCCAGCGGCCTGACGCCACGATGTCCTGCACGTCGGTGAGCTCCACGTTGCGGCGATCGCCGCCGCTCTCGGCGCAGCCCCAGGTGACCACCGTGCCGTCCTGGAGGTCTCAAGGCTCGGCACCCGGCTGCTGGGTTTTTAAAGGGGAAACGAAAAGGAAAACCTAAGTTGAGTGCCCTTGGTGGGTTTTTACGGGAAACGAACCAAAAAGAAGGGGGGGGGGAAGACCTACATTTGGTGGTGTGGTTTGAAGGAAAGCCAAGATATTCTGGGGCTCCCATTTTTGGGGGTTAAGGTTTCCAAGGGAAAACCCAAAAGGACAAACCCATTTGGGGCTACAAATCCCCTACTTGCACGCCTGGCGGATCGCCGCGAAGGCGTGGTTGGACGCCACCACCTTCGTGGCCTTGCAGGACTCGCCTTCGCTCGCCTCAGTGACTCAGGGCTCGGAATTTGCAACTTGGGGACGCCCTGTTCGGCAGGGAAGCTGAAAGGGAACTCAGTTGTTCAGTAACCCTGGGAAAAAAGAGAACCCTTCTTGGAAAAAAAACACACATTTTCAGTGGGGCAGCCACCAAAAAAGGGGAAAAAGGGTGCCACTGAACGACTGAAGGAAACCACGTCTGAAGACCAAGCTCCGCGCCTTTGACTGCGCTTTGGTAAATCTCCAGGCGGACGTTTTTTTTCGGCTGGCGAGGGGAAGCTGAAAGGGAAGCCACTATTAACTATATGTATGTTATATACTAACAGTTCAAACAAGGCTCCCCTTTTGGCTTCGGAGGCGCCCGTTCGTCTCGCCCGCCTCCTCGGGGCCGTCGCCCCCACACCCAGCGTCGCCCCAGGCGACCAGCTGCCCGTCACGGCGGAGCGCGCAGAAGGCGCGGCTGGAGGCGGCAACCTGCGACGTCGAAGGCGCGGCTTCAGCCGTGGGCCGTTGAACTCTGGGCCAATGTCCAACTCTCCCCGAATTTTCGGATCTGCGGAAAGTGACCAACTTGGGGGTGAAATACGGAAACCCAACCACGAAACCAACTCAGGGGACGGATGGCTGAAGTAATGATGTTGTGAAGGGAAATGGAGGAAGCATGCTTTGGGTTGGGCCAGATTTCCTGCTACCATGGCTTAAACCACTGTTCTTCAAAGACCTCCGTCTGGTTCCATGGACAAGGTCTCGTTTACACCCATTCAGGCATCGCCTGCTGCACCTCTCGGAGCTGCTCGGAGACCTGTGAGGAGTCCCCGCCCCAATCCGCGCGGCCCCAGGTCACCACGGACCCATCCTGGCGCAGCGCGGCGAACGCCTCGCAGGTGGCGGAAATCTCCTGGACCTCCCGCAGCTGCAAAGTACAAGCGCCCCCCGTGCCAGCGTTGCCCCAGGTCACCACCTCGGAAACCAAATCGTCCTTCTCTGCATTAGACTTACATCGGTTGAAAAAGGGGCGTGAAATCTGTGAACTAGGCAACAATTGGTCTGACCAAATCGAACATGGACAAATCGAACAATGAAATGTAGTTGCTACTTGGGACCCAGCCACACTCCCATCTGCACGGATGGCAGCAAACGCATCCCTGGCTGCACGCACCTTGACAACGTCCACCAACTGCTCGTGCACGCCTGCACTCCAGCCACCGAAATTGGCGTGGCCTGGCGCGCGCTCTTGGCAATCTGAGACCAGCCGACAAAGCTCGGCTAGAAGCCTCGACCAGTTGCCTTTGCAACATTCCCACTAGTTCTCACTCAAAGCGGTTGATAATATTGTGAGCATGTGATGCCTCGTGGGTACAACAGGAGCTCAAACGCAAACCAAATCAAACAACGCAACACAAAGCCCAACCCAACCCAACGAAACCAAACTCAACTCAAGCCATCCAAACGAAACCAAGCCAAACTCAACCCAACCGAACCCAATCCAAACCAAACCCAACCCAACCAAACCCAATCCACACCGAACCAAACCCAAACCCAACCCAACCCAACCAAACCAAACCCAACCAAACCAAAGGACTGCGTTGCTTTCCGAGGCGCCCCAACTGACCACGGTGCCATCTGCCTTCAGAGCGGCAAAGGCCAAAGTGGCCGCTGCAATGTCCACCACCTGTCCGACGCATTGGCGGCGCATGGGCGACGCGTTGGGTGGTTGAACCGTTTGCGCCATAGCCCGGCGGCTTCCAGGCGAAGCAAATGCGGCTACTTCCGGAGAAACCGAAAAGGAGGGTCTCCTACAGGGAGGGAGGGAGGGAGGGGAGGGGAGGGGAGGGGAGGGGAGGGGAGGGGAGGGGGGGAGGGGAGGGAGGGTTGCTTGTTTTTGTGTTCTTTCCTTTTATTTTGTGTGTGTTATTTGTTTCTTTCGAAAGGAACTAAAAGGAACCAACCCATTTCATTGGGTCCCATGACAAAGCAAGAAGGGGAAAACCCGGACGCGAAAAAGTTGCCCCGCGAAACCACCGGATGCGGTAAAATCCCGGCCGACGCTCAGAAGAAGGGAAAACCCGGGCGGGGTAAAGTGTCGCTCGGGGGACCGTTTTGGTTGGTTGCATTTTTCGATAGGAACCAAAAGAAACCAACGGGTCCAACGTTCAATCAACCCAAAAAAAGGAGAAGAAGAAAAGAAAAAAAATAATGAAAAAAAAACAAAAAAATGAAAACATAAAATGAAAAAGAAAAAAACTGCCAATGAGAAGGGGGCAAGCAGCCGGGCGGTTTCCCATTTCCGCCGCAAACCCGGCCTCCGTCAGCTGCTCCGCGACCTCGCTGCTGTCGCCCCCGAACTGGGGGTGGCCCCAGGTGGCCACCGAGCCATCCTCGGGCACCCGCAGAAACCAACGAAAATGCCCAGAACACCGGCAGAAAGAAAGAAGGAAAGAGAAGAAAAACGCGGGGGGAAAAAAAAATGCGGGAGAAAAAAGAAGAAGAAAACGACGAACACACGCAGAACACACACACAGAAGAGCAGAAGGTGAAACACCCCCCAAAAAGAACACACGGAAGACCAGAAGGTGACACTAGAGAACGCCCAGGAAACCCGAGATCACGCTGAGAAAAGACACTGGAAACAGACAAAGAAAGGAACCACCCAGCAAACGCTGGAACACCCAGGAAATCACCAGAAAACCACAAGCAGAAAAAACCCGCAAACGCACAGAAAACGTCCAGAACCTTCCCTGGACCCCAGAAAACAGCGCAAAAGACCCATAGAAAGCACACAGAAAATTCCCGACAAAGCCCTGGGAAACCCAAGCAAAGAGTCGCAAGGGCCTTTAGACATAGGAGTCTGAAAGGGCGGAAGGGAAAGAATGAGTCTCGCCGCAAGTGACACCTTGCTGTTTGACTAGGCGCGTACCTGAAATCAAATAAGTGAGCAAGAGCAGAACATCGCTTTCGCCACACCAGGAGAACCAAACAAACGGCGAAGGATCCGGCCATAAAACCCTGAACACAACGTAAAACCCACGACTCCCCTGCCACAACCAAAAAAAACCGGAGAAACGCGGAACCTTCCCGCTGCAAACCCATTCCAAACCCCAGCAAACCCCCAGAAACCCAGAAAACCACCTGGAAAATCCACTCAAACCCCAGAAACCCACCAGGAAACCACGGAAAAACCCGTGAAATCCTCCACCGTCGCCTCCAGGATGGCCGCAAAGGCCGCAGAGCGTCTGCTGGAGACCACCTGGCAGCGCCGCGCCAAGGCGAAGAAGGTCTCGCCCCCCTGGCGCCAGGGGCGCGAGCCGGCACTGCCCTTTTGTGGCGTGTGTCCTGTGGAGTTGTTGTTTTTGGGGATCGCCTGGAACAAGATCACCAAAAAACCAACACATTTTTTTGGGGATCGCAGTAAGAGCTTTATTTCCTTTTGGGGATACCTGCGTTGGTCGGTGCTTGATGCTTTTTGTTGGGTTTTGGGGGATAGGGATTGCTGGATTGGATCCCTGGAATAGGGCGTGTGGTCTTATTCCCTGGATTGGATCTTTGTCTCATTTTTTTTGTGTTGTCTTATTCCAGGGATCCCTGGATTCTGTTGGAGCTCAAGCAGAACCAGAGGAATTCGTTTTCGGACAGGTGGCGCGGGTTGATCCCATTAGCCATGTGGTTAGAAGATCCCTGGAATAGGGCGTTGGTCGGTTTCTTTGATGCTTTTTGGTTGGGTGTTGTTGCGGGTTTAATGGCTTTTGCTGGTTCTCTGGGAACATGTTTTGCGAAAGGAGAGGTGGTTGTCTGATTCCGCTTGCCTTCACCAGTGAGTGGTTCCGCCAACATCTGCAATTGGGTGTTTCCAAAACTCTCAGGGGCATCTACCAGGCTCTTTTGGCCTTCCAAGTGGGGAGGCTCCCACCAATTAAGATGGAACCTGACACAAGGTTCCTGAAGGGCATTTTCCTTTTAAAGGGACCCTCTGTCAGGTTCCATGTGAATTGGTGGATGCCTGAAAGGGAATTCTCTGAAAGTTTCTGCTAAAACCACACAAACTGTTCACTCGGGACACAGGTACATGCCGATCTTTATTGGTCCAAGACTAAGAAGTAGGAGGCTTTTGCGCATGTCCAGGCTTCCTATCCAAATACCCTTGTGTTGAATATTCATGGTTTGTGTCTTGATTTGAAGACCCAGGCGGGTACATTCTATGATGTAGCCGGGGCTACCCTGTGGTGTCCTACAATCCTGGCACTGGACAGGGGGCTTTCCCGAAAAGGAAAGATGTCTCCGCTGATGAGCTTCCATGATTGTGGGCCCCCCAAAATGGGTGGTTTCATTTTGGCCTCCCTGTCAAACGACTCCAAACAAGCTGCCCCCCCCCCCACATACCCATGTGAAAATATGTAGAGGCAAGCAAAAGGTCATTGTCATTACCTGACCAAGCACTGCCTTTGATACCATCCTGGAGACGCGCTTATGTTCATATAACATGGAGCGATTGCTTGCCCCACGCAGCTGTGGCATGAGTCGTTCAATGCAAAAGTAGAGTATCAGGTCTCGGGAGGAGCAAGCTTCAACGCAAGATCCCATGACTCACTGTTACAAATTCAATGAGGCTTAACAACTCGAACCCCAAATGCCAGAATCTCCAGAGAAGCGAAGGACATGCCCAAAGAGCGCGTGCACCGTGCATGCCAAACATACCAAAGGCTCCACTCTGTGCAGCGAAATTCCTCTCCAAAAGCAAACCGTGCCACCTGCAACTCCTGCAGCGTGTGATCCTCCAGCACCTGGCACACAGAGGTAGAGCCACCGAATTCAGCGGGTTTGTTCGTTCAAGAAAGAGACGCCGCCAGTGTTGGACATCAGGTTGCTAGTTTGCTCGTGCCTCCTATGTCCCAAGGAATCCTGTGGCTTACACTCTGTGTCCCGATCCCCACCATAACCTCCTTGAATGGGCTACAACTTCCCGATTGTGACGCCCGACAGATTTGGGCGCAGTGCCTGACACACAAATGGGCGATCCGCGCCCGGCAGATCGCACCGTCTCCATTCCGAACCCGACAACCCGACCACTTGCTCTTCGGGCCGCTGTGGAAGACAAACCAATTTTCCCAGTCACTCGGTCCAAAGGTGAGCAGCTGCACTGCGGAAAACATGAAACCCAAACAAAGCAAAGCCAAAACACCTGAACCGACAACCACAGCGCAAGCCCCAAAACAACAGTTACTTCAAAGCACTTCTCACCCCGTTCTCCCCCCTTCCACCCCCCGGTTCCCCCCCGGTTCCCCGCGCCTGGCCGTGCAGCACCAGCTGCGCCAGGTGGCGGCCCAGCTTTCGCTGCGCCGCGCGCCGCAGGTCCTCCGCTCGCACCGCGCCTGCCGCGCTGAGCGCCACGGAGCGGCCGCTGAGCAGCGCCACGTGCACCGAGGGCATGGCGCGCAAAGCCGAAACTGAGGCGTGGAGCCCGGCAGGGAGGCCCGAAACCCCGAAGAATAGGCCCCCAAAAAAGGGGAAGCCAAAAGGAAGCTGTTGCTTTGTTTGTTTTTTGAGGGGCAGGTTGGTGGTTGTTCCATGGGATTTCTTGGTCTTCCATGGTTTAAAGATCTTGAATCGCCCTGACGCTCACTGGGGGGTTGTCTAGACCACTATGGTCAAAATATGGGTGTGTCTCATGTTGACGGTGACCTTTTTGAGGTGGATGTCAAGGGAAACAACAGAAAAACCACCAGTTTTAAGAGTCCCCAACAGGGGCCAAGCCCATTTGCTCAAACCAAGCTTGACCCAAGTCTCGGTGGGGATCGAGGTTTAGATTGCAGCCGAGGGATGCAAACAGCTGGCAGCCTTCCTTTCATGTCTGAGAGTGGCGGGCTTGGATCATCCTTCGGCTCAAGGCGCACCCAATGAAACCTTTTCCAGCGTCCTTCCAAGTCAATTCGGCGACCCGATGGCTTGCGAGATTGGCTGCAACTGTCCGCAAGCCTTCGAATGAACCCAACTTGGAAGCCGACGCTGGGTCTCGTCGGTTCTTCAAGCAAAGGTCTTTGAGCCATGCGCGCAACGCATGTCGTTTTCAGCATCTGTTCGCTTGGAATTGCGGGGAAGTGGGTGGGCCGGGCGAATCGATTCGGCCCCCCTTTCATCCATGACACCACCAAACTCTGTGACCCGCCTGGGGCTGATTTGCCCAAACCTGGTGCCTATCCTGTTGCACGCAACCCAGTCGTCTGAAATTAAGGGAATTTATGGGTCGCCGAGCCGCACATGCAAAATCCCCTCGTTCCGGGCTCAAACAAAACGCAAAACAGCTGGGCATGTCTCCAACAATCAGAATTCGCACCCCCAAAAACCATGGCGGTGTCGCTTATGGCAGCGTCCCCCTTGAATGAGCAGCCTGGAGCGCCCCAACTCCCCCCAAAAAAAACCGAGCCACGCCAGCCCATCTCCCGCCTCAAGAGGCCACTGCGCGCCGAGGACCTGGCCACTTCGCCAAAAAAAAACAGAAAATGCGAGGAACCCCCAGCTTCGAAGCTGTGTTAAAATTTGAGGGCCAAGGAGCAGAACCCAAGCTTCGAACCTTGGGTCTTATTTGCAAGACCTAGGCCTTTGACCCAAGACCTTAAGGTCAAGAACCACCCTATGGTTTTGGTCAGCTGGGAACCCCCCTTTCAACTTTCAACCATATAGCTCTTTGATCATTTTGAGGCTGCTATGGATGTTCATCCAAGCCCTGAGGAGCTTCGGCCGTTTGCTCACCCTTCATGCGCATGGTTGCGAAATCCATTTCGCAGAACGAAATGAAACCATGGTTGAAACCATTCTTTGTTGGTATTTACAGGAGAATCGCATCATGCCGTTGAGTTTCTCAGGCTGTGCTAAATGAATTTCGTCCATCAGCGTCACAAAGAGGCAGCCGGCAGCCGGCAGACCAGAGAAACAAGATTGAGAACCTCTTTTGGCGGGTGTTTCCAGGCAAACAGGAGACCGACCAAGTTCACCAAGTTCACCATTTCAGGAAACCCGCCCACACGAGATCCCACGAGGCAACCCCCTTGGTTTTCCTCGTGGTGTCCCTTCAAACCCACAAAACCATGTGTAACAACCCCGCGAAAAGGACGAGCCGCCCACATGGATTGACTCTCCACTCCGGGAACCGCCGTGCCAGGGTCGCCACCAGCAGCGGGGCCAGAGCGCCCATGGCTTTCAGGGCGGAAAACCCGTTTTTTTTTGTGACCCAGTGGGGCTTGTCTCAACCTAAGGAAACGGGGAAAAAGCCACATGCAAGGTGAATACAAAAGTGTCAAGGTTAAGAAAAAAAGTCGTACCAGGTTTTAAGAAAAGGGGGTGCCCTTGAGGAAACCCGATTTCCTTTCGGTTTGCTGCCCTTTACCATCCCAAGGATAGCGAGCCTCAAAAAGACCCAACCTCATTTGGGTTTAGCCATCCCCTCATAACGGGAATCTGCGCTTTCGCGCCCTGGCGAATCCGCGTCTCACGTCGGGGTTTCTTTTTCGGGCGAGCGGTTTCTGGCAGGTGTTGGGAGAAAAGACCTACAAATCCACCACTTCTCCTCAGTCGACTTTCGGCTCCCTTTTGGGGGAGGAGTCCGTTCCGGAAGATGGAACGCTTTGGGCCCATGTTCAGCAACTTGTGCTCACTGTCGCGATTTTTGTGGCTTCCAGGTGTTCCCCTCGGCCCAAAGAAGCGCACTGCCAACAAGACTGCCAGGAGGGTTCAAAAGCCTCTCTGCTTCAAAAGCTGGCAAGTGGTAAGAAAAAAAAACGCAAAACCTGGAGGAAAAAAGATGCGCCAGCCTTGGCCACGCCCAAAAATGCCGTCACAGACCTGGGCTTGCACCCGAAACCGCCCTTTTTCTCCAACATAGAGAGAAAGGCCCGCAGCTGCTGAAGGGCCTGGCGCACGGCTCTCAAGGGCTTGGAGAAGCTGTGGTTTGCATCACACCAAAACCCCTCTCAGAAGACCAGGGAGCCTGGCTTCGGCTTCGTGTTCGGGCAAAAAGCCCGAAGCGCATCCCAAGTCCATCACCCGGTGACGGTTTTGTAGGCGAATGGAACCACTTTGTGACAACAAGAAGGAACAATAAAGGAAAGGTTACCTGCTAATTATTTGGCTGTGGGTCCAAAATAGGCACCCAAAATGGAACACTGTCAAATGGAACCAAAGACTAAAACCTGCAGTCCCCTTGTTTAACTTTGACCCATGCCTTGGGCTAATGGCATCCGGGTCCGGCAGCTCCTCTTTCCTCCGCGTTAGCCGCACTTGGAACAGAGCTCTCAGAGAAAAAAAGAAGAGCTCGAGAGCTGCAGATCATCGACGCGCAGCACGGCTGCGGATTCGAGGGCTATGCCAACCTTCTTGCATCGCAAATGACAATGACTTCTCCTAAGATCGCGGGTTGGCCCGGAAACATAGGTGTCCTGGAAAAAATAGATGGCCCTGGTAGATGATTAAACCACCAGGTAAACCAGGAATCGCCATCTATTTTTCAAGCAAAACCACCAAAAATTGGACACCTATGCCCGGAAAGCAAGTTGCGATCAGAAGATGTCTCACCTCATGGCGATTGCCTCTTGGGCAAGAAGCTTGCATCCGGTTTCATGCGCAAATACATCCGTCCCAAAAGATGTTAAGGTCCAGCCAAAATATATTCGTTGCTTTCTGCTCCCCTGCTAAAAGTGTAACTTTTAGTGCTTTAATGGAAAACCTGGCAAAAAGTTAAAATCCTAACATCCCTTGGCAAAATGCGCCAAAGATATTTAGCACCTAGTCTGAAGCGGCCGCGCCCAATTGGTCAAGCCAAGCCATGGCCCCGTCGGAGAAATGGAACGCATCAAACATCATCAAACACCTTTGATTGCCTTGCCTGCGATGGCCATGGAAGACTCAAGGATGTGCCCTTTCCAGCGCACAGGACGTAAGCTCCAGAAGCTGAAGCACTGGGCAAAGGGGTGTACCCAAGAAACAGCGAGCATGGGGCCATTCGCTGCTCGCGGCTTCAAAAAAGTGGCCCGAATTGGTCAGATTGCGATAAAAGTCATGGATCAAAGGCACAACCTTGCTCTCAAGTTCGATCACAAGGCAATGGAAAACCATATTCCAAGTGCCTCACGCTGTGCCCTGATCCACCGGTGAACCATCCATTATGGATGGCCAGTTCGGAGAGACCGGCCATTTAGGGCCGGAGAATCGCCAGGAACACGTCCCAAGCGCTTGCGGGAGGTCTCTCTGGGATGGCACACGATACTTCCAACTAAGCGATATGCGGCGGGCCAATCGGGGACTTTTGTTTTACCCACAGCTCCTTCCTTCCGTTCCATGCCCAGGAACCATGCGGTTTTTACTCTCTCAGACCCCCCGGCTTCTTTGCCCCATTGCTCTTTTTTCTGACTTTCTAGAAGATCCGGAACCCGGATCTCTTTTTGTTTTTCGCATCCTCAAAGCTCTTTGCTAATAGCAGGCTCCGAAGCCCTTGGAATAACGCGAAGGAGGACTTCCAGCACTCCTGTCGACGCGGGATTTTTGTTAGCTTCTGAAAGAGGGCGTAGGCCGTCTGAAAGTGAACCAGATGAAATGTGTCTTCTGAAAGATCCAGAAACTCTGGGAACCAACGGCTGAATGTCTGGTTTGCGAGGACTGTGCAGTGCAGGGAATGCAAAAGGAATCAAGGTCAAGCTAGTTCCATCTGAGCAGAACCCGATTCACCCATCAACTGCTCGTTCTACCACCGGAAACCAGGGATTGCCTGCAGAATGTCCTGGCAAACATGGCTATCAAGGTTTGTATGGCCCTCGCGCCATACTCAAGAGCTATCATTTGGGTGGTTTCTTCTTGAATTTCATAGCCACCTATTTTGACCAGTAATCAACTTTGAAGGCAGCTATGCTCCAACATGAAACAGCGATTTGTTGGGAAATTCTCCAGCTCGGGCCAAGCCAATCGAGGCAAACTCGAGTAGCCCAAACTTGCCAAAGCACTTGTCATAAGCTTTGATTCTGTCTGTGTAGCGGTCACCAACAGAAGCCAGAGACAATCCCAGGAAAAAGCGGATGTGAAATTGACGCCAGAGCCAAGTTCACCGTTGGGTCTGTCTTTTTTGAGGGTCCCCCTTTGTTGGTGGTCTTACAGGGAAACTAAAAGGCAACCCACTTGTTTTCTGTGGGGTCCCCAAGAAAGGATACCCCCACATTGCTTCATCCCAGGAACTCCTTAAGCCAGACTTCCCGAGCTCAAGGAAATCAACGCTTCGCTCTGTCCTTGTATCTTGTTGATATCCTGCTCCAACTGCGTTGCAAACCTCAGGGACTCAGCAAACAAGGACACACCACGACATCGCGAAACCCACAGCGCCTCTCTTGGTTTTTAATGAGCCAGGCTTGGTCGTGGATGATCTTGCCTCAGGTGAAACTGGGCGCTCAAGCCATTTGGCATTCGGCAGGGCATGGTTCCATTGTTTGACTACCCCGAGATGGGTTTCCCTTCTTGCACCCTGGGTTCAAGTCTTGTCAACAAATGGAACCATGCTGCATAGTGCGTGATTTCCTTCCAGTATGCATGGCGCGCACGAGCACAAGTTCAATCCATGCAGAAAAAAAAGCTACCCAAACCTTGCCTACGTCGATGGCTCGTGCCGTGCCCCGCAAATGCAGGCATCCCATCAGGAACTCCTGCAAACCGCAAATCTCGCTGGGTAACCGGTCAAGTCTCCTCCTAACCTGTCAGCGGTGAGCATGAGTTGTGCTTGGGCTTCTAGTGACAGGCCCTAGTGAAAAACTCCTCGATCTCCACAGAACCTCCAGCATCCAAATCCAGCAGCCTCAGGCGAGTTTGGCCCCAGGCAAAGGAAGGCCCGGACTGTCAACTTGCAAACGGACGCAAATACGGCCAGATGGGGGGAAGGACAGCCAGTAGGGCAAATAGCCATCCCGCAACGGGGGCCCCTCTGCTGAGATGACTCCTCCGCTCGTTCCGGTTTTTTCCCCTGGCCCCTTGGATGGCTTCTTCTGTTTCGCGGTCTTCTTCGTCTATTTGTCTAGGCTTGTTGCGCTCGGAGACCCTAAGCCTGGCTTCCCGGCTTTGCTTGTTTCTTGGTTGCATTTGTTGTCTGCGGACACCCAGCTCTGGGCCGTGGTTCGTTTTGGCCTGCTTTCGCTTTGTTTCTTTTCTGTCGGGGTTCCGCTCTAACCGGCACGCGTGTGTGAAGAGTTCCAAATGAGGCCTGAAACCATTGTTTGTTGTTGGGGTTGCGGGAGATTCAATCAGAGTACCAACGAAGACACTCGCTGTTGGCTCGTCCTGATGAGCTGGTCGTACCTGCAGTAATGTAAAGTCTCTTGGTCTCCCGCTGTACGTGCTTTTTGTTGGACTTGGTACCTGTGGTAGGGCCCGACCAATTCTCCAAGCAGGGGGCGCAGGCATGGTGACATCGTTTTGGGACGCTGGAGTGATTCCGATAGTCCATTTCATCCCCACGGTTTTGCTGTTGTATGTGCTTCTTGTTGTAGTTGTTTTTGCATCTAGAGGGAAGCCAATCGGAGTTGACTCGACTTGGACTCAAGTGGATGTCATTCGACTAAGCTTCACTTGAACTTGATTGACACCCTCCCTCGTAATCGAAGTGTGCACCACCCCGGTTGGAGGATCTTCGGGTGTACCCATGGGGTGACCCCAGTACGTCCTCGCCGAGGCCTGTATGACAGACATTTGCAAAAAATGGTCGCTCCCCACCAAAGGATGCAACGATGATAATCATCATGGCACGGACTCATCGTCGTCTTCCTCCCTCATCATCATCATCATCATCATCCATCATCCGTCATCAAGATCATCCTCACCAGGTTGGTCAGCCATCATCATCATGACTATCATAATGATGATCATCATTGTCATCATCATCATCATCATCATCATCATCATCATCATCATCATCATCATCATCATCATCATCATCATCATCGTGGTCATCGCGTCATCACGTCTTATCCCGTCTTCAACTGCACTGTCAGGCACGCAGAGGATGCTACAATGACAGTCCTCGTGGCATGGATGATCATCATCACCTTCATGATTCCTCCAGCATCATCATGACCCATCCTCATCATTATCATGAACCATCATCATCATGCATCATCATCTTCCATCACCACCATCATCCGTCATCATCATCTGTTAGTCAGCGCTTACCCCGCAGAGGATCCTACGACGATAGAGCGTGTGAAACCTCCACTCAAATGTTTCACCTTAGTTTCATAAAAGGTATCCTTACTGTCTTGGCTTGGTGGTGTTTCCGTTTTTTGTTTTGCCCTTCTGTTTTTGTTCTTCTTTGGTCACGTCAAAAGTCCGGGGGTGCTGTTTGGGGGGCGGGTGCATTTTTGCGAGATTGACGGCAGGGTGCTGTTTGGGGCGCTCTTCGGGAGGTGCTGTTGGAGGTGCTGGTGTACAATCGTCGGCATGCTTTTCGCTATCTGGGGTCTATGCTGGTGTAGTTGTAGATAAAAGGAACAAAAGAAACGTACATAATTTTGAATATGGTCATACTTTATTGCGTTCATCACGGCATGCTTTTCGCTATCTGGGGTCTATGCTGGTGTAGTTGTAGATAAAAGGAACAAAAGAAACGTACATAATTTTGAATATGGTCATACTTTATTGCGTTCATCACTTAAAAATAGGTTTGTTTTTTTTTCACGAACACACACACACACACACACACACCCACGCACGCACGCACGCACGCACGCACGCACGCACGCACGCACGCACGCACGCACGCACGCACGCACGCACGCACGCACGCACGCACGCACGCACGCACCCACGGACACACACACACACACACACACATTTGCGCTTGTAATTTATCGTTTAGGACGAAACAACAACATAACAAGCTCAGGTGATATCCCCAACAGCATGCGGTGCTCTTTTTAGCGCTCGCGCCCTCGCAGAACCTCGTGGAATTTTCGTGGAACTCTGGTGAAACTTTGGTGGAAACCTGGTGGAACCCTCGTGGAACCTAACCGCAGGGCCGCCCCGGACCACCCCGGAGCCTATCTGGGCTGACTGGTGCGGAATAATAAATATGCTGTATCTATATATATATATATATATATTATGAGTTGAGGCGGCTTTCGTTCTCTTTCTGGAAGGAACGCCTGTAACTATATTTATGCTCAAAGTCAAACAGAAGTAGCTAAAGGTCCAGTTGGTGTCGTACCTGTGAGTCTTCCTGAAAAAGGACTCTTGAAAAAGCGTGTCGTTTTAGAATCCATCATCGAAGCGGGTTGGCCATATTCATTGTTTATGAAACCAGCCCATCGCCACGTTACACAGTAGCGTTTCTTCCCCCTGGCGCTCCTCTCCTCGCTCCCTGACGTTGTTTGGCTTGAGTATTGGCTTTTGCTGGCAAAACAGAAGCCTGCCACCGCGATGCCGTTACTCAATAGCAATGTCAAACCAAACCCTAGGCGTGTCGCAGATATCATCTATGCATCTTTAAATATTTAAGGCTAAGCAATTATATCGATTATCCAGCTTGAGAGACAGGAAGAGGACGAGGAAGACACAGGCAAACAACAGGAAGACGAATGCCTCAAATATGTTTAAGTAGAGAATTAAAACTACAACGAAGAACATATTGTGCTATAGAAAAAAAACACAGATATATTGGTGAAGAAAAATCGTCAAATACTCCCCAGATCTCCCCAGATAGCTGAAAGCTGTAAGGGTTCTAACTTCCAATAAAGAGGGGAAAGTGATTTGCGAGATTAATAGGGTGGCGCTAGTAACCGTGCAGTTTGGGGTGCTGGTTGGGGTGCTGTTGGGGCGCTGTTGGGGCGCTGTTGGAGGTGCTGGTAAGATTGACGGCTGGGCGCATGCAGGGTGACGGTGCAGGCGCATCTTTGCCAGATTGACGGTAGGGTGCAAGGGGGCATGCAGTTTGGGGTGATGGTGGTGGTGGTGGTGGTGGTGGTGGTGGTGGTGGTGGTGGTGGTGGTGGTGGTCTTGGGATGCAGTTTGGGGTGCTGGTTGGTGATGGTGCGGATGCATCTTCGCGAGATTGACGGCTGCGAGAAAGAGATCGGGAAGGAGCAGGAAGACGGACAACAACAGCACGACCAACACAACCAAGATACAGGAAAACTAAGGTGTGTCCCCCAACTCGGGGTGGTACACACCTAGACTCCTAAAGGCGTAAGACACGCAACTTCGAGCGGTAGTTCGCGCGAAGTTCAAGTGAATATGCGTGTCGCATCCAAACAGCTCCCCTCAAAGCGCAAAACCGTTACCAAATCCAACGAAAAGCGCGCGCGCACACACACACACAGCTGGAGATACCAAGGGCCAAAAAAGACTTTACATCACTGCTACAGGTACGGCCAGCTGATCAGGCAGCATATCACGAGCTAACAGCTGGCGTCGTCTTTTCCCTGCGCCCCCTGCGCCCCCTGCAGCGACACAGTTGGCTCAAGGGTTCATCTGCAACTCGGCACACACACACACACGCACGCATTTGTCCATCCAAGCTAAAAACAAAGCCGCTGGGCAACGCGACATGCTTCCGAGCTTTGGCAACAATACCGACGTGTTTTGTTTTGGCCGAGGCATGCTACAAAGAACCTAGTCCAAGATCAGCTGTTTGTAGCTGCCTTTGGACGGCTTTTAGGCTTTTAGCATCTTCAGGGGAACCAATAGGGCGCTCGAAGTTGGCGGATACTTCGGGAGCATTTTTCCTCGAAGGAGCTTGAAGAAAGACCATGCATCGGACACGTCGAGGCCCAACGATTCGAAGTACACCTGTATCGGAGGAGAGTTGATGTTCTCCTGCGAAATGGCCAACCGGGCAACCCAAAAAAACACAAACACATCATCTTTTGAGGACTCTTGCTCCCTCTGATGAATCAACATGACACAACTCCCCAAAAGTGATGTGGGACAACCAGCGATCAACATGACAACTACCAGCATGACATAACCAATCGGTTCATATGTCGTGCGAAAATGGCACTTACTACAGATCGGCACAGCCATGGCACGAAGGATCGTGGCAACAACTCAACACGTGTCCCCTCATCTTTGCAAAAGTATCTGCGGCAAGCAAGAATCTTGCTGGAAGGCGTGGGGCCCCCTAAATACACAGCAGCATTGCAAAACAAGACATGTTTCTTGCATGCTTGCCGGGAAAGCCAAGCCAACCAGCACGGGCCAAACCCCCCACGCTCATGGGGCAGTCCTCCAACTGGGCAAAAGTAATTCCTTTCTCGTCGTCTGCGCCCATTTCCTTGAAGAGGGCCCGGATCTTCTCCAGATGCGCCTCCTGGAAAGCCAGCGCTTTTGAGCCCCTTCCTTGCCCATTTCATGAAAATCTGCTCCATTTTCTTCTCGTCCCGTCTTCCAATCTGACTTTGGGTGATACTTAAGGCGATACACTGCCACCGCGTGTTCTTGGGCTGAAAGGCAGCAGCAAGACCGGCCCGCTCCTTGTTTGCCATCACTGTATGCACCAGCGCCAGGTGGTCATTTTGAGCAGATTCTATAGCGCTGGAGCAGAAAACCGCTGTAACCTGGACCGGAGTTGTGGGGCGGACACCCTCGAAAGACATAAATTTCTGAACAACAAACAATACGAACACCAGTGGAGAGACATTCCCCAAAAGTGTTGCTAAGTTCGTCTCCGCAACAACATTCAAAACGGCAAAATATGTGAAGGCTGTGAAGAAGACGTACCTTGGAAACTTCATTCATCGTGCGCCGCAATCTTCGCGCAAGAGCATGTTTGCAACACGCTGCGCGCCAAGTCACAGAAGCGTCCAAACGGGGGATATCAGCTTCAACGGTCCGATGACCTCCTCCCAGCTCACCTTGCGCCACCACTGTTTTTCCAACATAACACTCACTGGCTACTGGGCTGCGTTGAAGCTTAATTGGAATTCAGGCAGGAGGGGGCGTGGCGAGTCAATCCCGTGCCGCGCCGATATCCGCTCGCGCCGATATCCCTGCTGGGCCCCAGTAGCCACCGGCGCGCGCCGATATCCGCGCTCGCCAAAATCGGTGCGCGCGCCAAAATCCGCGCACGCCGATATCCTTGCTGGGCCCCGAGCCATATCGGTGCGCGTGACGATATCCGCGCTCGGCTAAATTCTTGCGAGGCGCGCCAATGTGCGCCGATACTTTTGTGGGCTCCGATAGATTTCCGTGGGCTAGTTTATATAGACAAATATACATACGTCTATGCTAAGGCTATATTTGAACAAGTATAGTTCTACATATTGATATGCGTGTATGTGTGACAACACAACGTTGGTTTACGCGTGTTTGGTTGATGTGTGTTGAAATGTCTGTCAATAAATATCTATTGCCCACGGGGCTGCAAGACTGTTTTTGCATTGTTTTTGCACAACGATAGGGGCTCACAAAACCGTACCCCTCTGCACATGGTACCCGACCATGTCGTTTCTCAGATTCGCACGGCGTCACTGGCTGAGCCACGCTGATGTCCGGGCACGCTGATGTCCGGCCGCGCCGATATCCTCCTCCAAAGCAGGTAAATATTGGCGCGCGAGCCGATATCGGCCGCGCCCCAATCGGCGCTGATATCGGGAAGTTCCAAGAAAGGGGCCGAGGGGCATGTGCGCCGGTGCGCTCATATCCGGACGCCGATTTCCCTTTCCGCAATTGTTTAAACAGAAGCGGGGATATCGGCGCGCGGCGACATCCGCCACGCCGATATCCGGCCGATCACCGATGTCCTGCTGGGAGGGGGGGAGGATATCGGCGCGCGGACCATATCCACGCTCGCCGATATCCGCGCGCGCCGATATCCTGAGAAGGGATATCGGTGTATCGGTGTTTCGGCTCCAGCGCGAAATGAGATCCGCAACGCCGGCACAATGGAGCTTTGGACCTCTGAACTGGTTCCTTCTGTTTCTCTACTTGATATACTCAGTCAACTCCACTCGCTTTCTAACTGAGTCTAAATGGAGCTTAAAACGAAACTCGACATATGTTTTCTAGTTTACAGTAGAATGTAACCAGACTGTTCTCCAACACACAATTTGCTCAAACAACAAGCTAAGAGTTCAACATAAGCAAAGCAAGTGCAAACAGAGACATACTTGGGCGCACAAGCAAATCAAAATAGAGCAAAAAGTGCACTGCAACAGCCCCCAGCCCTCTTTTTGACACGAACGCGAGGGCAAGGATGACGAGGCGCGCCACCAGCGATGCTCATGAATAAACTCAGCATTGTCTCGGACAATGAGTTGAAGTATCGCTCGCCTCTGCTAACGGGCGCTGGGTTCCTCTAGACACGCGCGTTCAGGGCAGCCAGGTGGCTCTGCAGCACGGACATCACTGAGGCCCGTTTCTGGAAACTCTCTGGCGAACATGGTTGGTTCTCGCTTAGGCAGCCAAGCAGCTCTGCAGTTTTTCCCTTTCGGGAAGCTCTGGCACGTCTGGGTCGAAGCGATAGTCATTCACTGCTTGTGTAAAAAGTACAGCGAAGATATAGATGATCACGCCCTCAGGAATACAACTTCCACTAGGGGTACAATGATCCCGGCAAGCGACCAAGAAATTGAGAGGCAACAGACCTCGCAGTATATATGTGCCGGGGTAGGCTCCACAAGGCTTTTAGCAGGGTTCCGCGCAATGGCCCGACGCAAGATCTCCGAGCCCTATCAAGCTGGATCTCCGACAAGGATCTCTGAACGGTCTCTTGGAAGGGTCTCGGAAGACGGTCTGTTGCCAGAGCTCTGGAGGCCCCCGGTGCAAGATCCCTTTGTTGGTCTTGGCAGGATCTCTGTGTAAGATCTCTGAAGGTGCTTCGCAAATCTGTGAGCAAGATCTTTGACCAGGCTATCCAAAGTAGACCCTGCACAAGATCTCCTGAGAGGATCTTTACAGAAGGTCACAAGACGTCTTTGCAGGAACTCTGAACAATCCCCTTGCAAAATCTTAGAAGCATCTCTCAACAAGATCCCTACCAGATCTTCATACAGTATCTGCTCGGTGGAAGCCCTCTACACGACCTCTTGGGGGATATTCTACTTCCAATCATGTACACGCACAAAGTGCGTAGACAGTTACATCCAAAAAATCCTTTCGATTCTCACACCTCGCGCCGCACACTTCAAGAGCGATTGGACACCGCTAGGCCAAAAGTCCGCTAAGGGGTCGCTTTCGATGTTCAGACTTCGCACCGTGCCACAGTGAGAGCGATTGAACGCAGGCAAAAGCCGCGCTTTTCACGCGAGCCTGCGCAATCAAAAGCACGTGAGAGATTTGGGAGAGGATTCTTGTTAGCGCCGGCCTTCGCGAAACGATCCCAGTGAGGCGACCCTTCGATCTAATCCTGCTTTACTGCGACAGTCAACAATGAGCTCGGCAAACGCAGACTGAGAGCGATCTGGTTTTCCGTGCAGTGCAGCCCCAGTCGGATCTGGGGTCGACATGTGCGGAGCACACACCCCACTCAGGCGCCGACTTCGAACTACAAACTTCGAACTTCAAACTTCGAAAAAGGTGATGTCAACTTCGAACTTCAACGGCTCAGGTTTGTGTTTCAAAGCTTGGGCAGGCTGGGACAAAGACAAACACGCCTATTGCATACTTCATCTGGACATCCAAGCGGCAAGAAGCATCAGCGACCAAAAGAGCGATCTCAGCGTGTGGAAGATCGACGTCACCAAGGTCCGCAGAGCCATCACAAAGCGGAGGATACGCATCACGCGAATCGTCTTGATCAAGCGAGTGATGCGGATGATCCTCGCGCAAGCCGATCGATTGCATCTACAGATGGAGTCCCAAAAGCACGGGTTTTCCCAAAAATGAATATTCTTATTTTTGTTCGTTGTTTGAAAAAAAGGTGGTTCTGGGTTGTTCTGGTAGATATTACTCGAGCGCCTGATGGCCTTGAGGCTGGTGACGCCAGCAATGTTGTCCCCAGAGTCCTGCGAAGGTCCCATTAAGTCAAATTTAACCACCAGAATACCGCCCTTGGTTCCATTTACCAGAATTCCATTTTGGGTACCCATGTTTGACCCACAGCCACACCCGGACGGGAAGTCCGCCGACATTGTTTGGCGTGTCGGATACCTAAGAGAGGCAGACAGACAGACAGACAGACAGACAGACAGACAGACAGACAGACAGACAGATAGACAGACAGACAGACAGACAGAGAGAGAGAGACAGAGAGAAAGAGCGAGAAAGAGCGAGAAAGAGAGAGAGAGAGAGAGAGAGACTAGGTCCTCCAGTCGAAAGGGAAGAATTAGGGTATCCTTTTTCTGTAGAGGGGCGTGGACAGGAAGGAGACAGGCAGACAGAAAGAGACAGAGAGACAGAGAGACAGAGAGACAGAGAGAGAGAGAGAGAGAGAGAGAGAGAGAGAGAGAGAGAAAGATAGAGAGAGACAATGGGGAGGATGGGGAGCAAAGGGAGGGACAGAGGACGACAGAACACACGAGGGAGACAAGAGAGAGAGGAAGAAGGAGAAAAGGGAGAGGACAATGTCGGCGGACTGAGCCGGAGGCTCTAAAGTTAAAGGGACCTTTTCTGACTTTGATAACCCCCCACAAGCAGCCAAAATAATGGCCCAGATTCAACGGTGGTTTGGAGGTTAGGGAACGGAGTTGATTTGTATCTTAAATCACCGAAAGTACCTGAACTAAGACTCCTCCGTTTTTAACAATCTCTTGTTGGTTTCCCTTTGAGGGGGGCCAGACTCCAGGTACGAGTCAAACAGGTGGCTTTCCCGTTGATTTCCCTTACCACACGAAAATCTGGTGGCAGATATTTTGACAAGCTCCGGCCTCCTGGATGTACACGTACTCAAAGACCACTTCCCAAATGGAAGACAGCACAATGAAAAGGTCCAGCCAGCCCCAAGCCCAATCCTGCGGAGCTTTCGCTGCTCACTTTGCCCGGTTTCTCAAGTTGGCAGCATTCAAATAGGAAACAGGATTGGAATATGATCAAGCGCCCGCCTGGCTCAAGCTGGCGGAGGTGCACAGTGTTTAGGCTACGAACCCTCCAAGCACAGCTTTGATGCTATGCTAAAATGACCAGCAACCGTAGGCCGCCCGATTCAGATCCAGCCGGACAGCGCTGTCACTGCATGTTCAATGCCAGAAAGCTAGGGCAAACCACTGCAGCATATCACTGCATTGTATCAAGATAGGAGGGACCCCCAAAATGGTGGTGTCCTGTTGGTTTCCCTTTGAACCTGTCAGAACTACGAAGCCAAATGGGCGGTTGATCCGTCCTGCCCCCAAAACATCGGCCTGCGGCCAACATTTTGAGACCTGGCCTCCGAGAAGAAGTACTTGCGGCCGTCCACGGCCATTCGCAGAATCAGCTCCAGTATGAAGATCGCTGTGAAGAGAATCCTCAGGCGAGACGGCGAGAGTGATTTTCATGGAGAGTTCCTCATTCCAACTCCACTGGTTCACCCGAAACTTTCGGGCACCGACTTACATCGGCCGTTCCCATGGCTTTCTTTATTTTCTTTACCCACCTGTTCCTTGCCATGTCTAAACGATCGGCGAGTCGTTGTTTGAGACCCCCGCAAACTGCTTACCTGAATGGACCCACCATGCGGATGTTTTTTTGGGGGGCAAAGATAAGGGTATCCTTGCTTACATCCTATCTAGCTTCTCAACCTCCCAAAAAAAGAATGGCCATATCTGTTTTGGGACCTTCTCCTCCCCCCGTGAATGGAGGGTTTTTCCTCTTGAGCTTCCTGCAAAGAAGAAAAGAAAAGAAAAACCGTGGGCGTCTTCTCCTCTTGGGGTTCAGAACCCCACCGGATCTGATTGAATCGAAGGCGCTGCAGCACCTGCAGGCTGAGCGGGCTGGGCCCGAAGGAGTTGATGCTGCTCTGCACCTCCACGCCGATGAAGACGGCGTTGGCCACAACCACCAGCCCGAAGCCCAGGTCGAACCTCGAGCCGCGGAGATTTCCGCGGCTTCGGCGCGCGGGCGGCTCGGTCGGAAATAACCCCGCGCGCGAAAGCTCCGCGGCTCCCTGTTTTCTGGTTTGCGAGAGGCGCTGGCGACTTGCGATTTGCAAGATGTGCATAAAAACAGATTCTGTGTTGTTAGATACATATACATTAGTACATATATATATATAGTATAACAAGCCAACATGTTCTTGAAAAAGATATACTATACATTTGACAAACAAGCATGTTCCTGAAAAAGGAAAATGCCCCTTTTGGTGAAGTAAAAAAGGAAACCAGCCGTCCGGGTCCCTTTGAAGCGGAGCACGGATCGAGCTGGGGGAGTGGCCTGTTTGTTCTTGGGGCCGATCCAAAATGGTCCCTGAAAAGTGCTTGGTTCCTTTAATAACTTTAAGCCTGACAATCCAACCAAAAGGGGGGCTTTCCGAAATCCACTTTGAGAAACAAGAAGATATGGTATCAGGGGCCAGTGGCGCGCGAAAGCGCTCTGTTTCAAGGTGGCCTCACATGGCCGACGGGACAATCCCACGTTTTGGGCAGTTCGGCCGTTTTGCTCTACAAATCACATGTGCGTGTTCAATGAAAGCGTGCATGCATGCTATGCATGACTTTGGGAGCCCAAGAATCGCTTTCGACACCCGGAAATCCAAACTGACGAAGGGATGTAAAGAATATGCGGCGCTGCTTGCTGCTTGCGTTTCCAATGTCCCTTGAAACACGAAAAAGGGCACCCGAGCCCTTTTCAAAAAGAAACAGAGCCGCACCCACGTGTTTTTCTTCCGGCGTGGCAAACAAACCCAAGTTGCACTTGCGACCTCCGCCGGTTTTGCGCGCCATCCGCCGAGCCACATCGGGTGTCTCACCAGGCGTTGGAGTCGATTCGGCGGCGCCGGGTTGAAGCTCCTCTTCTCCTGCCGTATGGTGGATGGTTACGAAATCCATTTTTTGGCACCACCGTTCAGAAACCCTAGAATGATGTGATCCCCTGTAAATACTGTAACAAACGTTGTGCTTTCAACCATGGTGTCTCGGGTGGTGCGAAATGGATTTTGTCCATCCACAGTATGGTGCTTGTGCTTCTTGAGGCCTTTTGCAGTTACTTTAAAGAAATCAAAGAGGAACACCGTTTGGGGATCGCCAAGATTGACACATCTACCCCTATGCGTTTCGCAAAATTCTGGTGTCCCACCAAAAAAAGTGCACGGCGCAGGCGTGACAGTCAAACCAACAGTCTCGATGAGCACAAACAACCAAATTGATGCTTGCGGAATATCAGGCAATTTCTGGCATGGGCTGTCCTCAGATCCCCCGCTAAAAGTTTAACTTTTGGCGTGGGTTTCAATGGATATCTCCACTAAACACTAACAAGCTAAAAGCATAAGGGGATGGCACCAAGTGTGTGTGTGTGTGTGTGACGGAAACTCTGGCCTCGCTTGCACAATTCGCTTTTGCTTCTAAACGCGAAGAACAGGCAGCAACGCCCACCTGCAAAAACGGGGAACATCACGGGTGTGGGTTCATACAACCTGATCAATCAAATGTCTGATTTCTTCAGCCCCAATGTTGCCAGAAGGGCCGTTACCCTTCTTGGTCGTTGCTTGGGTCGAGAACACTACAGCAATCCTTACAGACCAAGGTCAGGAGGTGTCTGCCCACAAGATGTCAGCTTTCTTAGTGAACATTGCACATTTAAGATAGGGTGGGATTTGGAACACAAAAGGTTGATTTGTAACAAATAGGCAGATCCCTCTTATTCTGACACAGCGTTGCCGAACAGCGGGCAAACTCCCATTCCCGCCCTCGTACATTCGATTCAATAGTACATCAAACACAGGCTGCTCAGCAAGCTCTCCTTGTTCGAAGCAAACCTCCTCCGTGAGCGATCAGCGTCAGCAGTGTGCGCCACTTCTCGCATGGCGTCATCATAGGAGATGAAAGACCTCTGTTCCACCCGCAAAACTGCAGAGCCTAGTGTGCAAATACCGCCACAAGCTTTCAGCTTCTCTATGGTCTCTCAGCGGTGCAGCACTGCAAAGTCAACAACAAGCTAAGCGATGTGTGTGAACAAAAAACAAATGAATGAATCGGCCATAAGCCAAGAGCCGATGACAAGAAAAAACCACGCAGAACATGTGCCTCACGTCCTCTGCTGCCAGCGCGCTTGGGCTTAGCTCCCCCCTTTGTCAAAGAAGGTGACAATGGCTCCCTCCTGTGATTCTTCGCACTCTTCATGGAGTAGGAAGTTTGAGCCTGGCATCTTGAAAGGCGCCAGGGCTGAAGTTGCAATGACGCAATCCAAAGAACACGCGAACCAGTCAACTTGCTACTCATGCTGTCTCCATCGCCCGTGATGTTCTTTGTGCCCTGGTCTAACACCCTGAATCTTGACAAGCACATTCCGTCTAACTACAATCCCGCAGGCGCAATCAACTCCGTTTGCGGGCGAAATCCACTCGCGCCTTGTTGCCGCCTGCACCGAGAATGGCTGCCTCCACCTGATTCTGATTCGGCACTATGTCTCTGTGTGTGTGTGTTTGTGGTTGTGTTTCTGTTTCTGCTGGTGCTTGTGCTTGTGGTTGTGCCTTTGTGGTTGTGTGTGTGTGCGTGTTTGTGTTTTGTGTTTTTGACTGTTTTTTGTTTTTGTCTTGTTTTGTGTTTGTGTGTTTGTGGGCTTGTTTCTGTTTTTGTGTGCTTGCGTGTTAGTGTGCTTGTATGTTTGTGTGCTTGTGGGTTTGTGTGTTTGTGTGTTTCTGTGCTTGTGTCTAAGTGAATGTGTATGTGTGCGGGTCTGTGTGTGTGTGTGTGTGGGTTTGTGTGCGTGTTTGTGTGTGTGTGTGTCTCTGTGTTTGTGTGTGTGTGTGTGTTCGCGCGTGTGCGTGTGCGTGTGCGTGTGCGTGTGCGTGTGCGTGTGCGTGTGCGTGTGCGTGTGCGTGTGCGTGTGCGTGTGCGTGTGCGTGTGCGTGTGCGTGTGCGTGTGCGTGTGCGTGTGCGTGTGCGTGTGCGTGTGCGTGTGCGTGTGCGTGTGCGTGTGCGTGTGCGTGTGCGTGTGCGTGTGCGTGTGCGTGTGCGTGTGCGTGTGCGTGTGCGTGTGCGTGTGCGTGCGTGCGTGCAGTGCAGTGCGTGCGTGTGCGTGCAGTGCGTGTGCGTGCAGTGCGTGTGCGTGCAGTGCGTGTGCGTGTGCGTCAACGTGTGCGTGTGCGCATGCGTGTGCGTGTGCGTGTGCGTGCGCGTGTGCGTGTGCGTGGGCGTGCGCGTGCGCGTGCGCGTGCGCGCACTTGCGCGCTCGTTCTTGCGCTTGTGTTTGTGTTTGCGCTTGTGCGCTTGTTCAATTGTTCTTCTGCGCTTTTGCGCCAGTGTGATTGTTGGTGTTTGTGCTTGTGCTTCTGCGCTTGTGCGCTTGTGCGCTTGTGCGCGTGTGCGCTTGTTCCTGCGGTTGTGCTCGTGTTTGAGTTCGTGTTGAGGTGTTTCAGTGTGTGCTGACCTGTGACGGAGCCATGGTTCCAGGAGTCAATCAAGTGGGACTTCAGCAACCAATGACGTTTGGGCAACCTGTCCGGGCCATGGCCGAAGTCGAAAGCTCAGGTCAAGGCTACTGAGAGAGGCTGTACTGGCGCCACTCGCTCGATCAGCGCCTGTAAGCGCTCCTGAGTGAAGCCATCAACAAGTCGAGCAAATCACAAATGTTGCCCAGGGTACGCAGCCTGTTGACCCCGCGCACTTTTCGCAAGGCTCCAGCCTTCAGTCCCATGGTCTGTGCGCATACACTCATGGTGCAGCGCGCGCGTGCGTGCATGTGTGCGTGGGTGAGTGAGCGTGCGTGCGTGCGTGCGAGTGAGTGAGTGAGCGAGCGTGAGTGCGAGCGTGAGTGAGTGCTTTGAGTGAGTCATTGAGTGAATGAGTGAGTGGGTGTGTGCGTGCGGGAGTGTGGGAGTGCGTGCGTGCGGGAGTGCGGGAGTGCGTGAGTGCGTGAGTGCGTGAGTGCGTGAGTGCATGAGCGCATCAGTGCGTGAGTGCGTGAGCGCGTGAGCGCGAGAGCGCGTGAGCGCGTGAGGGCGTGAGCGCGTAAGCGTGTGAGGGCGTGAGGGCGTGAGGGCGTGAGTGAGTGAGTGCGAGAGGGGCGTGAGTGCGTGAGTGCGCGAGTGCGTGAGTGCGTGAGTGCGTGAGTGCGTGAAAGCGTGAGTGCGTGAGTGCATGAGCGCGTGAGTGCGTGAGTGCATGAGCGCGTGAGTGCGTGAGTGCGTGAGCGCGTGAGCGCGTGAGGGCGTGAGCGCGTAAGCGCGTGAGGGCGTGAGGGCGTGAGGGCGTGAGCGCGCGAGCGCGTGAGCGCGTGAGGGCTTGAGTGCGTGAGTTAAGTGAGTGCGTGAGCGCGTGAGGGCGTGAGTGCGTGAATTTGTGAGTGCGTGAGTGAGTGAGTGCGTGAGGGGCGTGAGTGCGTGAGTGCGTGTGCGTGCGTGATTGAGTGAGTGAGTGAGTCAATGAGTGAGCGAGCGAGCGAGCGAGCGAGCGCGCGCGGGTGCGTGTGTGTGAGCGCGTGCGTGCGTGTGCGTGCGTGACCGAGTGAGTGAGTGAATGAGTGAGTGAGCGAGCGAGCGCGCGTGGGTGCGTGCGTGAGCGCGTGCGTGCGTGCGCGCGTGCGTGCCGTGAGAGAGTGAGTGAGTGGAGAAGCAGCCGCTGGGCCCAACGGCTTCACAGGCTTGACAGGTTGCGACGGGCCTGACGGGCCCTGCGAGTGTGACCAGCTCAACCTATCGGTTTCACGGGCTGCTTTAACGGAAAGATTGATCGATAGAACGATAGACAGACGCATCGATAAGTCAATGATAGATAATTAGATAGAAATTAGATAGATAGAAGAGATAGGTAGATAGAAAGTAGGTGGATGGACAGATAGATTCAAACAGGCAGATAGATGATCAGAGATACATGACATTGATATAGATCAGTAGAAGAGAGAGACAGGCAGAAAAGATATGGGTAGGTTGATGGGTTGATAGATGGGTAGATAGCTAGATAGATAGACAGATAGATAGACAGGCACATACATAGAGACATACGTAGATATGTAGATAGGAGAGATATGTAGGGATAGAAATATAGGGAGACAGAGAGAGAGAGAGAGAGACAGAGATTGGTCGATTAGATTGCATTAGAACATATAAATAGATAGACGGATATACAAATTCAGAATAGATTAGATTAAGCAACCAAACTGGTACATGCGCAGATGTGTAGATGGAAATAGGCAGGCAAATGAACAGGTGCACAAAGAGATGCATGGAAGAATAGGCAGGATGAAACCGCAGGCAGATGAATGGCAGGTAAATGGGTAGTAGGGAAAACCTGTTTGCCCGTGTCGTTAGCATAACCAGACCTACCGTTTCAAGCGTCTCTCAATGCGCCTTGTTTTCCAGAAGCTGCGGTGGGTTCTCGTTTAGTCTGCTTAGCGTGCTTCCATATGGGAGCGTTCGTTGGGTGCGGACGGGGCCGTGCTGGTGGGATTTGGACTCCGAGTTTTGGTGGGCTTCGGCTTCTGGGATGGGAGAGTTGGTTCATGGGCGCGGAGAGAGCCGTTGAGATACCACGCGCAGCTCGAGACAATGTCTACAACAATTGCTCCGTGCCAAGATCCACTGCTGCTTCGAAAGCCACTGACAAATTTGGTCCCATTGTTGCATTGGGGGGAGGTTGACCTCTAATTTTTCATGGCATGGCTGCACCAAATAGCCTCTTCTCTTGTTGGCCTTGACGGGCGGGCCGACGGGCCCGAACAATGAAAAGGTGAGCGAGCGAGTGAGTGAGTGAGTGAGTGAGTGAGTGAGTGAGTGAGCGAGTAAGTGAGTGCGTGAGCGCGCGTGAGTGAGCGAGCGAGGGAGTGTGTGTGTGTGTGTGGGTATAAGCTGCCTTTCTTCCCTTGTAGAGGGAACCAAGGAATGCCTGACGTGTTGAGTATCCCTGTGCATACCAAACGAACAAACACATAGCTCTGTGAGCGATCCAACTCAAGCCACTGGTTTGTAGTTCACAGGCTCTTGTATTTCTTGGCCCCACAAAAGGTTTTATGTGGTAGGTCCGCAAACAGGGGAGTTCAAACTACTGCCAGGCATCATTCTGGCTCTCCAGCTTGTGGAGAATCTCTTGATGCTGCTGCGCCAGCAGCTGTTTCAAGTCCCAGGCAGCCATGTCATCCATGTCCTGGGATTTTTTGGGCGGGTACCTTGTTGGGCTAGTTTCAAAGGCAAACCAAGAGAAACTCGTCATTTTGTAGCTAGACACAGCCTCCCCCCCCAACAGCAAAAAACAGACTGTTCAACTGTTCACCAAATGTTCAGCTGTTCCACCGCAGTGTTTTCCCAAAAGGCCGCGCTTGTGCAATAGCTTCCACTTGGCCAATCAAAAGGTGACATTGCGACCAGGGGAAACATCCTCTTTCCACAAAAACAGTGGACGGCGCTCCGCTGTCCCAAAACGATTGCAGTCGGACAAAAAAAAACCAGCCAAACGGACCCTGATCAGATGCCCTACAAAACCCAAAAAAATGGGGGGAAAAAACGAGTGAGTCAAACAGGACAGTGCCAGCCACTACAAACCACCAGGCTTCTTGGATCGGATGCCCGGGAGCCGCCACGATGGCAAAAATATCCCACCGAGAAACCCGCCAAAAAGACCTCGGAGGGGGGAAAAAAGGAAAAAGAAACAAAAGAAACAGACACCGACCTCACTAACTCAAGACCACCCACCAAAAGAACGACGCAACCAAAGACATGTTCTCTTTGACTTCCCTTAAAATATTGTTTCTTATTTAAAAAAAGACCGGAGCTCCTTGTGTACGCAAGCGTTTCCGCCCATCAGCCGCACGGCCTCGCATCGCTGCGGCTCCACGGGGGCCTGCACCGCACGAGGGGCGTTCGACTTTTTGGAGGGGCCTTCGTTGGGGGAGACCAGGGGAGCGATGTGGCTCGGTCCTCCAGAGAGGTTAGAAGAAGTTGGTACCAACTTTTTTCAGTGTTGTCGACTTTAGGGGAAGCCTCCTCCAAAAAAAGGGTAAAAGGGCACTACTCAGGGACCTAGGTGAGCATATGGGTTTGCCTGGTAAATGGATGGCATAGACCCCGTCTAAACCAGTGGCACCCATCGATTCTTAACCAAATTAGCCGATCAAAAGGACACCTATGAATCTGGGTCTGGCCAGTTTTGTGTTTCGTGTTGGATTGGCAAACGAAGGGACAATTACAAAAAAACAAAGGAAATAATAACAACGATCATCTTGGGGTCAAACAAAAAGACACACCCAACGCAAGTGACAGATCGGTGCGCAAGGGCAGCCCAAAACTTTGGTGTGCCTTTTGCTTGTTCGTTGGCCGGCAACGTGAGGTTTGTTTCTCCAGGTTTGGTTTCGGAGCCCTGTTCAAACACCAAGAAGGACGGTAACCGCGAGGTCAGTTGGGGCTTGCGGAAGCCTTCGCCCGTTCCCTTCAGGTCAAAAGGGTACCCGCAAAACAAACACAGGTGGAGCGGAAGTATCTGCGGAGCCTATGTACATGCTAGAAAGAAAGAAACAAAGAAGGAAGGAAGAAAGGAAGGAAGGAAGGAAGAAAGAAAGAAAGGAAGAAAGGAAAGAAAGAAAGAAAGAAAGAAAGAAAGAAAGACAAAGAAAAAATGGAACAAACAAAAACCAAATGAAAGGGCCCAAAAGGGTTCGAGAAAGGTCAGGAGACAGGAAACCAGTCCGCATCCGGCAAAGCCAAGGGCAAGGAATGGCATGACTTGGGTGTGTGTGTGTGTGTGTGTTTTCTGCTTTGAAGGGAAACCAGACAAAAACCACTTGAAGCCTTCAGTCACTCTTGCCTCACTCTTGCCGTGGTTTCGTACGCATCCCGTGCTTTAACCTTCGGCCCAAGATTGAAATGTATCTCTTGCTGCAAAGATGTTGGGAGCCCCAAAGACGTGGCTTGCCTTTGAGGGTTCCCAAGTCTACTCACGCAACCGCAACCGCACACACCTGCTTCGAAGTGTTCTCTGAAAGTCCGCCGACCCTTCGCAAGGGGGCTGGCAAATGGGAAGGCTTGATGTACGCATCCGGACACGCACATGTTACAGGGCTTCTACTGCAATAGAAATACAAGTCTGCGAGGCACTCTGGGAAGATGACAAGACTGCAGAACCAATGGAAACACTACAAGACTACACAAACCATGGTGTTTCCTGCGGTTTTGCCTTAAATCCAAAGGTGACGCTCGACTTTCTGCCTTGGGAGCGGATCTTCCAGGCTCAGAGGGGAGTGGTGTGCCTTCCTTCCACAAAGCACCCCGGTCGCAGGCCGTGGCCTTCGCCCGAAGAATTCTTCACTTGGAGAGGGCGGAGGCGAAGAGAGATGCTGAAAACGTTGCCTCTGCCCGGCATCTTGCCCTGAGATCTTGTCCGCCCAGGAAGTTGCGGAAGGAAATCAGAGGGGAACCACCCACATCTTTTTTGTTGGGGGGGGTTACCCAAGACTGGGCCGGCCACGCATGCTGACGGCTCACACCCCGAATCCTCGTCGATGCCCCGCCTCCGTATCAGGCTCCATGCTCTGAGTCCCCAGCGGCGACAGGCGTCCTGACAGACAAGAGCCATGAGACCTCGTTTTTCAGGTCCCAGACGAATACCCCGCCAGGGGCAGTCTCCGGTTCGCAAACGAGAAGGAGACTCGTTTTGACATGGACGTACCGGCTTCATGAATCAAGAAGGAGACTCGTTTTGACATGGACGTGCCGGCTTCATGAATCAAGAAGGAGACTCGTTTTGACATGGACGTGCCGGCTTCATGAATCAAGAAGGAGACTCGTTTTGACATGGACGTGCCGGCTTCATGAATCAAGAAGGAGACTCGTTTTGACATGGACGTGCCGGCTTCATGAATCAAGAAGGAGACTCGTTTTGACATGGACTGTGGACGAATCCGGCTTCATGAATCAAGAAGGAGACTCGTTTTGACATGGACGTGCCGGCTTCATGAATCAAGAAGGAGACTCGTTTTGACATGGACGTGCCGGCTTCATGAATCAAGAAGGAGACTCGTTTTGACATGGACGTGCCGGCTTCATGAATCAAGAAGGAGACTCGTTTTGACATGGACGTGCCGGCTTCATGAATCAAGAAGGAGACTCGTTTTGACATGGACGTGCCGGCTTCATGAATCAAGAAGGAGACTCGTTTTGACATGGACGTGCCGGCTTCATGAATCAAGAAGGAGACTCGTTTTGACATGGACGTGCCGGCTTCATGAATCAAGAAGGAGACTCGTTTTGACATGGAGGAGAATCTCGTTTTGACATGGACGTGCCGGCTTCATGAATCAAGAAGGAGACTCGTTTTGACATGGACGTGCCGGCTTCATGAATCAAGAAGGAGACTCGTTTTGACATGGACGTGCCGGCTTCATGAATCAAGAAGGAGACTCGTTTTGACATGGACGTGCCGGCTTCATGAATCACTCGTTTTGACATGGACGTGCCGGCTTCATGAATCAAGAAGGAGACTCGTTTTGACATGGACGTACCGGCTTCATGAATCAAGAAGGAGACTCGTTTTGACATGGACGTGCCGGCTTCATGAATCAAGAAGGAGACTCGTTTTGACATGGACGTGCCGGCTTCATGAATCAAGAAGGAGACTCGTTTTGACATTGACGTGCCGGCTTCATGAATCAAGAAGGAGACTCGTTTTGACATGGATGTGCCGGCTTCATGAATCAAGAAGGAGACTCGTTTTGACATGGACGTGCCGGCTTCATGAATCACGTTTTGACATGGACGTGCCGGCTGCATGAATCAAGAAGGAGACTCGTTTTGACATGGACGTACCGGCTTCATGAATCAAGAAGGAGACTCGTTTTGACATGGACGTACCGGCTTCATGAATCAAGAAGGAGACTCGGTTTGACATGCACGGCTGCAGGAATCAAAGACTAGCGACAGACCGCTCCACCGTCGCTTCAGAGTAGGTGCAATTCTGGCATCCCGCTTGCCACTGGATTTGGGAACCTGGTTCGGTTCCAAAACATTAAGTGGGTGGGGTGGAAAAAACCGCCCGTCCCCAAGAGCGGATGCTGCGGCCTGGCCGACCAAATCCTCAAGATCCGGCAACCAGCTTGAGCCGAAGATGCCGGATCGGGCAAGCGGATGTCTCTGGCATTCGTGCGGTTTGAACCAGACAAACCCCAGCAGCCTTTCCAGAAACACCAACAGGTTGCTCAAACAATGCATGCGTAAACATGTTGATTTCCACAAAAGGACACATGCCCTTCTGGCACAATGTCACATGAACTTTGGCCTCGCACACGACAAAATTGTGGAATGGGATGGCAACAGGTGCTAGTCCTGCAGCCTTTACACGCGACAAGTAGACTCTTGTGCACAAATAAAGCTTTGTGCTTCGCCCGTCGAATCCTTGAACGAGAAGTTGCGACATTATGACCACCAGACAGTGGCTTCAGCAAGGCAATACAACATAATCCTGAGGGCCAGTCAACGAAAAAGATTGTGTTTCACAAAGCAGATGCCAAACCGCGGCATAGTGGCATAGGCCCCGCATATCTCCTGTACCGCAACAATGTGGTTTTGCAATAAGAACCATGCCTAGTAACATGCGCGCAGGTACCAGGATCATCTTTTAGCGGGAGAGAAAGACGATGCAAACTGTTTCTTCGACCCTCTCGTTCGTCGGCTCCTGCCTGCTGGCACATGAGCTGCCTCGCTGGCTGCAACTACCTGGTCAATTTGGGCACAAGCAACTCTTCAAGCAACTGACCCCTCTAAATAAAATGAGCTGTGTGCTGGTTGGGGGTTGGAGTACCAGTCCTGACCGTAAAGAAATATTCAGCCCCTTGCATTGCCACAAAAAGGTCAGAAGCCCAGGTTGCATGACAACCAAAGGTGAGGATCACGCAAGGACAAGGTTTGCCCTGTACCCGTCTGAAAAGACCTCTCCCAAATGCTTCGTCAACCGCATGTGAGAAAAACGAAAACGGCCAGCCTGCTTGGTCTGCTGCCAAAAAGACAATCTGGCGTTTCGTCACCCCGCTTAATCTCCTTTGGGTGCTCCCTGAAGCCTCCAGCTACACTTCATTCAAGAATACATGGTCTTCGGGAAGAATAGGTCTATGCAATTTCCTGAGGTCCGCCAGCAAATCTAACAACGGGAAGCTTGTGACATTCTCAAGGTGACCCTCATCTTTTTGTTTCAAGTGGTTTCTCCCCAATTCGCAGAAGCCCCTCAAACCGCACAAGGCCCATGGGGTTGGCCGGGTCCGGGGTCCCGCGCCATGTCTCGCGTCAGGCGGTCCGGCGCGGAGGCCAACCGCTGCAGATTCCACAGGAGCGTGCTGGAGAGGCGCCAGGGGCCTGCCCAGTGGTCCCCCGCACGCGCAAGAGGTCAAACACTGGCCGTTTTTTTTTCAGCAGGGAATCGGAAGTGGGGGCTGACCCCGAGATACACCATACTGGTGGTTTCCTTTGAAAGGATTACGGATTACGGGGCAGTTGCTGTCGGGCGCAAGAGAAGTATCCGTCCTTTCGGAGTGGCTCCCAAAAAAGCAAAGCTGACTCCAATGCCTGGGCCCTCGACTCCCGACACCTACAACTGTTCCCGAAGTGCTATTTGCCATCAAGCAGATTCCAGCAAATCTCTTCATAGGAACTGGTTTCAGAGGCGCCACTGGCGAATTCCGTCAAAGGACAAAAGCAAAGTAGCCCACCCAATCAGAGACGCATCATGCCCAAAATAGAAGTATGCAAGAGAAGTGTACCCAAAACATGAGCTGACTTGCTGGTGCTCAGTCGGGAATGATCCAGGGTTGGGGGAATGAACCTAGTAGGGCTCATTCCGTTTCTCACTCCCTGAAAAACTGCAAGTCTACCTTCCCACCTCACCTCGGGAGGCGATGATGGTCACATAGCCAATGGCCTACGGAGTCCATCGCACTCGTCTTCGCCAGGGCCCAATGCTTGGGCGATCCAACCCTTTGTCTAAACATATTGTCAAAAACATGTCTGAAACGAAACAAACAAATCAAAACAAAACAAAACAAAACAAATCAAAACAAAACAAAACAAACAAACAAACAACCAAAGAAGCAAAGCAGTGTCGTTGAAACAACCTGCTTTCAGTTGCGCTTGACATTCTTCAGTCCCATGGTCTCATGGTCTCACGTTTGCTAACACTTCGTCAGCCCATTGAACCACACCACCTCGCAGATCAGTTGCTTCCCTTCAAAACAAAGTGCCTAGACAAGGATGGCCCAGTATTGCAATCCTTTCTCAGTAATGCTCGCAGTGAGTCGATGACCAGGTGTCAACTCTAGCAACTCCACAAATCATGACGTCTGGTGAAGCTAGCGACCGGGCTCACGGGCTCGTGAGCCAAGATGGCTACGCATGATTCCGTTCTCACTCAGGGGAGTCCTGTGGTATCACAGAAAGTGGCAACCCAAAATAAGACGATGCTCCCCAACCATGAAAACCAGCAGTTCTTCAGAGCGGCCAATGCAAAACCCGTTTCTTTCTTCCATGGGCCTCGCGTGGACCAAACAAACGAACGGCCCCAAACGGCCCGAGACCCGGGAAGCCCCACGGTGGAGCCCTGCAGCCATCCCAGCGCGCGCTGCCAGAGCCCTGCGCCCGCACAGGCGCCTCCGAAACTCAAGAAGATAGACCCTTTTTGGGACTCCGAGGCACGAGTCACTGGCAACTTTGCCGGTCTGTTGGTTGGGGAGGAGGGGGGGGGAGTCAAAAGTACGCAAAAAAAAAGTCAAGGAGACAAGGGCCGCATTTCCTGGTGCCGTCCGCCCAAAAAAAAGAAAGGAAACCAAAAAGGGCCACTACGTTTGACAAACCTTCACACGCGTCGCTTGTGCAAATGGGCATACATTTGAATTGGGGACCCTTGGGTGGAGCAACCTCTCGTGAGGTTCCCCATTCAAATTCATAGCCACATTGGGTGTGAGTCCTGTCTTTGGAGCTGGCAACCGTTTTTGGTGCCCTTTTTGGGGGTTGGACATCCAATGGAAAAAGCTCAGGTGAGTCCTTTCTTTGGAGTTGGCGAATCCTTTTCGATCAAAGGGAAACCGAAATCCTACTTCGAGATGAAAATCTCGGAGACCAACCTTATTTCGCACTGCAAATTCCCACAGATTTGCCAGCTCGGGGCGCTTCCTGAGTCTTGGGTTCTGTGGTGGCCTTCGGGTTCTCTTTGCGTCGGCGAGAAAGGCTCGTGGCTGTCGGGCCGCTTTGCCTACGCCATCCAAAAAACTTTTTTTCGGCGACAACTCACAGCTGGCGGAGAAAAGCCCACGTGTTTTTTCTTGTTTTTCCCTGACCTCAAAAAAAGGCAATCCGCGAAATCTGCACGGTGACCACCCCCCCAGATATGACCCCTTCATAAACCCCTCCGAACAAAGAAAAAAGCGCTGCAGAATAGAATGCAACCTAAGAATCGAGCTCAGAAGGGGACCCCCTCGCGGGACCTGTCCAGGGTCTCGAGCTCCTGGCTATTCCCTTTGAGCTCGCCTAAAGGGGTGTAGTTGCAATCTTACTCAACCTATGCACTTGGAGATTTAGATGGGTGGGACACAATTGGGTGGCGGGTCTATGTGCCAACCCTAAGCAAGAAGGTTGCAAAAAGCCCAATATCCTGAATGTGCAAGTAAATGTTACCAAGCCCTTGCCAACTCAAAAGCACACACCTAAACCTGCAACAAAAAATAATATGAAGAATAAGAATAACAATAATAATAGGCATGATTGTTATCATACGTGTATCGTTATCGGTATTATGATTATACCTGTTACTAGAACTGTTATTGTGATTATCATTATTATCATGATCTGTATCATCATTGTCCTTGGTATCTTTATCATCATTGTCATTATTACAACTATGAGTATTATAATTGTGATTCTGATCGTTGTTAACAGAGAACAAACAATACAACTCCAAGAAGACACACAACCCCCCCCCCAGCACCACCCCACCCCGCCAATCAGCGCATGCCGCGAGGCCGTGCTCCAGCTGAGCGACGCCTGAGACGCCCGCTGCTGCAGCAGAAGCGCCCAGCGCCAAGACCTTTCCGGCGAAATGCGCGGCTCGCTCGCCTTTTTTTTCCGAGTTGGTGCCTGCAAGTTTGGGTTGGCTTTCGAGGGAACCCCCCTTTAGTTGGATGGAAACGAGTTGGTACCTGTAAGCTTGGGTTGGTTCAAAGGGAACCCCCTTCCCTTTATTTGAAAAACGACCTGGTTTGGGGGCTAGCAGCCCAAATATGCGGGCTGCTAAAGCCCTAAAAAACCACAAGCTCGATGGTTTAGAGGGAGTCATTCACTAGAGCTCGTCTGCTGCTCTTTTCGGGGAGTTCGGAGCAACTGGAGGAAAACAGCACAGCGTCGCACCTGTTTTGTTGTTTCTTTTTTACAAGAAGCACACGAAAACTGTCTTCTCCGATGAGAAGGTCCTGCGCCTTGTGCTTCAGCCATGTCTCACATTGACCAGATCAGAACCTCAACGACAAGCGGGTCCCAGGCTGTCCTCGCCCCCAGACGGTTTTGTTGCCTTCGAGCCAAAGAACAGGAGGGTAGCGCAAACATCTACGCCCACGCCAGCAACGCGGCTACTGTTGGTGAAGACATGCCGTGTTGACCCGCCAGAATGAAGCTACAAATGACTGCAGGCATGCAAACCCATAGAGCAGTGAAGGGCTTGGATCGGAGTTGGGCCGACCGTCTGTTCAAACATGTTTAAACCACTTTGGTTCAAAGAAACTCCTTTTTGATTCAAAGGGGACCAGGGTCTAACTGTCGCTTCATCCTCTGGGGGGAACCTGACAAAGGCCAAACAAAAACGAAGCAGCACAAAAAGACAAAAAAACAAAAAGGAACTGCCAGAGATCCCTTGTCGGTGCTCGCCGAAGAGCCCAGTTTCCCATCCAATAAGTGACCTGACCCAAACCGTTTCAACACATCCTTGCGGGCGTGTCAACAGGTTTGCCAAGAAGCGGCCAACACTCATCAAAACCATCTGTAGGCCGAGTGTCTTCTGTTTTGCCCCTTGCCGAAAAGTCCCAGCAAGTGCAGCGGAGACTCTGGCAGGACGCTGCTGCGGAGTTGAAGGTGATGATGGTTGTTTCGATGCACCTGGTGAATCCACTCAGGAATCCACAAAGCAAACCGCTCTCAGCGACCAGCGTTCCCGAAATTCGGGGTGGCCCACCTCCCATCAGATACATCAGCCACATGCGAAGGCACCCGAAGTGCATTCCCAGATCCCAGTGGCACCCGGAGGCTCAAAGGTTCACTGGATTGGAATGGACATCCAACCACTAAAACACCCCAAAAGGCCAAAAAAACTGTCAGGAACCGGATGCCTGGGAACCACCAACAAAAGCACTAAACGCCAAACATCCCAAAAAAAAGCGCCCCAAAAAACCTGAAGGTTCCACCCAACCAAAGGTTCCACCCACTCCAGAAGCTCCAGAAACACCCTCGCCACCGCCCGCCGCGCGCGTCCGCCCGCCTCCCCGCCGCCCAGCGCAGTAGCTGCAGCCCGCGGGGCCAAGCCGCCGCCCGGAGCCGCGCGTTCAGCGCCACCACCTCGCCGCAGCCGAAGCCCAGCCCGGCCTCCCAGCAGCCTCCGCCAGGGGTTTCGCGCCGTGGGAGCTCCTAGTTTGCATGGGTGGAGCTGAGGGAATCAAAATGTTCCAGGGGACCAGGTGTTGATTCATGTTTCCACTTGTCAGGGCTCATTTGGGGTACATATTTCTTGACCCACGGCCAAGCAAGAATGGGGGGGTCCGGGGTTGGCGCTGAAACTAAGATGAGTGGTGGGAAAATAATGTTCCTGATTCGTCAGCCCTGGCCAAAATGCCGGTTTTGCCAGGAACACATTTGATTTCGTTCATCCCAACTGGTGCGAAGCGGATTTGATTTGTCCATCCACGGTACGACCTAACGGCAATCGAACAACGAACGGCCTAGGAAAGGGCGGAAACACCTAGGGGACTAGGGCACTCCAAACGCCAACCTGGAAATGACAATTCCAGCCGAGGCTGCATCCTCCAGAAAAAAGTCAAACCAAAAAACCCTCGAAGCAAGTGGTGCGAGAGAACTTGCTTCACGTGAGGTCACGCTTTCTTTGAAGTATGCGTGTGCTCTTTCGAGTGCGGTCTGAAAAACTTGAAATGCAGAGCTCGTCGTGTCGCATCAGAACACGGCTGGTTGAGTTGTTTCACTTCTCCACACTCCGCAGATTATCCCTCAGCTTTCTGACCTATTTAATTGGATCTATATGTCTATATATATATATACATACACATACATATTGCTTTCGTCTTTGGTGAAAACTTTCGTTTGGCTGCTCCAGGTCTCGCCCTTTTCCCTCTCGCCCCTGGCGCCTGCGCACGCGCTGATGGCCGAGTTCCGGGTGTTGGTGTTGCCGCGCACCGCCGCCAGGCGCAGGTCCCGGAAGAGCTGCAGCGCGGACCTCGGAGCGGAGGCCGGAGGCCCAGCGAGCCAGGGGTTGCCGAAAAAGGAAAACACGGGGCCCCATGGTTGGTCTTCTCTTGAAAAGACCCTTTATGAGTTTGTTTAGGTTGGTTTTTTGGGACGTGGTGTGGTTGCTTCCTTTTCTTGAGAGGACGCTCTTGTTTTTTCAGTTGGTTTAAAGGGACGCCAACGGGAAAACCTCCATTTCATTCATTTGTTTTGTGGGGGGGGGGGGGGGTTATGCTATTTTGACACATACGCAGATGTCCCGGCTTGGTGGCTTTAAACATCAGCTTTCTGGGCCCACAGGCTGAGTTTTTCTTGGTGACGAAATGTTGTTTGTATGATTTTTTCCGGGAGAACTTGGGAAGCCGGCAAAAGTTCGGCAAAACCCTAAGGTGTCGGAGCCCGGTGGTTTGCAGGTGCGGAGGTGTGGGAAACACTTCAAGTGGAGAGAAAATTTTTAGCTTGGGAGCCGCCAGCTTTCTTTCCTTCCCCAAAACGTCCACTTCATCACTTCCACCGGAAAAGAAGAGACTGCCAAACAAAAACCTCCGCGGGTCAGCATCCTGTGGCATTTGGCTGTGGCTCAAAAAACCGGAATTCCAAAATGGGTTGCCCTGGTAAGTGGAAACATGGACCAACACCTGCGTAACCCTCCTGGTCAATTTTGAGCCACGCCCATTTGGTTCGATCCCGGCAGCCACCATCGCTCCGCCTTGGCCATGGCATCCGCCAGGGCATTCCAAGAGATCACGTCGAGCAGACGCCTGGCGGCAGGTGGACCCCACGGCTGTGGGTCAAAAATGGGTACCTAAAATGGAACCCTGGAAGTGAAACCCAGGATTAAAACCTGGGGTTTCTGTGGTGGTTTTTCTTTGACCCACACCCATATTCATCAAACCCAGTTGATTCATGGGGGGTGTCCCTGCTTTTAAGTGGTTGTTTGATCACTTTTGGAGGGAAACACCCCCGGAACCTCGCAGGCGCGACCAACTCATGTTGACCCCTTATGAATCAAACCTGGAGCTTGGCGGTGAGTGAGAGGATCGATCCTTCCGACTCAACTGGCCCCGAAAAAGCCTTCATGGGGCAAAAAGTTCACCCCGTATGAATCAAACCCATATTCATATGGCCCCCTCGAAAAGTGACTTGATTCCCCACATTTCATTCAGGGAGAAGCACCCCCTATCAATAAACTGGGGTGGATTCATATGGGGTCAACATGATCGCTTGGGGCGGACCTGAAAAGGAACCTAGCTTCAACCCTCTTCGTATAGGCAAATTCCAGCTCGAGGCGAGGAGCTTCTCCGAATCTGGGGAAAACGTGGTGCTTGAGGCCCACACAAGCCGCGTGCGTTGCTTGGGGGCTGAGAAAATGGAAAGAAGAAGAAAAGCGTGAGCAACTACTGTTGACCTCCGGAACTAAGCAGAACCTGTCCTGATAATAGGGGGGTGGGGGCCCCTCCAAAACGGATGAACCCCGATACCCCTGTTCATACCGCGGTTTTGTTCATCCGGGCTCGACATTACAGCTTTTCGCATTCCAAATGATATCTGCGACGACATTTCACCTTTCCAAAGAGCACCGTCAGAACCAAGGAGTGTGCGCTCAAATCTTTCGTGGTCTACGATTGGAAAAGCAAAGTGTTGCATCTAACCTCTCGCGATGTGAGACAAAAACATCTTTGCCTGTGCCTTGCTGTGAGAAAAAGAAGAAAAAAAAGCTCCGATGTCTCTCTTTCCCGAGAACTGAAAACGGCAAATCCGAGCCTTTTGGTGCGTTGCTTCCTGAGAGCAATCTTTGGTGTGTTTATGAGGTTCTTAAGGGGGGATGCAAGAGGGGGGGATAAATGGGGCGACGTTTGAGTTTTCGCCTTGGGATGGTTGAACACTTTCCTTCCCTTTATATTTTCAACCATCGATTTCGCCTTCATCTCAGCCAAAGTACACCAGCCGAGAATTGGGCCCGGGTCTCCTCTGTAACGGGGAGGTATCCTGCCACTAGACTACTGGTGCAATTAATCTAGAAACACCCTCCCTTAGCAACCCCATAATGTGTAGTCCGTGCCGCTTCGATCGGCGCCTGCCTCCTGCGAAGTGCCTCGAAGGGTTCCAAGGCGGCCTCCCATTGGCCTGCGGGAGACGACCAGGCGAATCACAAGCCATGGAGATGGATGGGTTGAATGCGTCCCCACGTCCCCCCCGCCGGCGCGCCGCTCCGCGCCGCGGCGGTCTCCGCGGCGTTCAGCGCCGAGGCCGCCGCAACGCCCGCGAAGCTCGCGGAGCCGCGGCCCGATGCGGCGAGGAAGGCCTCTCGGTGGTTCATCGGCGGCTCAAGGGCTGACAGGGAAAACCCAGTTTGTTCATAGGGTGCTTCTCCCTGAAAATGTGGAACATCAAGTCAGTTTTCGAGGGGCCCCCACCCCCACCAGACTGTGGATGGACGAAATCCAATTCGCACCACCCAAGACACCATGGTTGAAACCATAACCTTTGTTGGTATTTACACCATTGTTTGTTACGGAATTTGCAGGGGATCATATCATTCTATTCGTTTGCTTGGGTGGTGCAGGATTTCGTCCATCCACTTTAGGGCTGAAAGGGAAACCAACCGGGGGAAAATCGCCCATGGCTTTTTCCGGGGGGGGGGGGGGGCAAACCAAAGCAATGGATACATCCATATGGCTGAATCAAACATTGGTACCCAAGGCCCTGGTATATGGAAAACCTGCGGTCCATATACCGGTCTAACTTTGACCCATACCCATTTGTTTCCCAGGACATGCTGAGCCCTTGGGTTTGTTTCCCCCAGGGCTTTTTGGACCAGAAACTCTGACCCCATCTCACATATGGGTGCGTCTCAAATTGGGGAACCCTCAACCTTTGGGTTCCTTTAGTTTCCCTAAACATTTTTCTGGTGGGCGTCTCTTTTCTGAGGGCCTTTTTGCGCGTCCCCTAAAACAAAACGCACCCAGCTTTCTGGGTCAGCGTTCCGTGTCCCTCCCTCCACATCTGCCAGCCTGCTGCCAATGCTTCATCCCCCAGAAGCCTCCAGCATTCCAATTGGCACGGACCGGGATTGGTCGGAACTTTTTGAGTGGCCGGCTGCAAGTACCGGCTGCAAGCACCGGCTGCAAGCACCGGCTGCAAAAGCACCGGCTGCAAAAGCACCGGCTTTCGTTTGACAAGGGTTCGCGACACACTTAGCTGTACTAGCCTGGAACCAGAATGTGTGTTGGTCGTTTTGTGGGGCCTTCTTGCGGACTAAAACCGGACAGCCCGTCTCCAATCGCAACCACCCCCAAAACAACGCAAACACTTGGGTTTCATTTGTCAAGAGTGAACTCTCTAGAAAGTGCTCAAAACAAGACATTTGGCAAGAAATTGGCGGCACGTGGTTGACAGGCTCGCTTGTTGTTAGGGAACATCATTTAGAACTGGTTTACGTCGCCGAGAAAAATGTCTCCGGACTATACCGTCTCTAGAGAAGTAATCGGGACGCCTAGTGTGAGTCGGACAATCCAACCAAAAGCTATAAAGTTGGATTCAATCCAACCCATCAAGGCTTCAAGTAAGCGCAACCTATCTCTCCACTCACATAACTTTGCGCGTCCGGAAACTTGAAGATCCAGCTCCTTGCCGCTTGCCCTGCCCGTCGCTCGCCTACAGCGCACCGCTGGGTCCGCTCAGTGGGCTGCAGGTTTGCCTGCTGCATCCTCGACAGCCACAGCCCGGCCGAGGCCCAGTCTCCCCGCTCCTAGCGGTGCACAAAAGACACCCCAATCACGAAGGACATCGTGCTGAGTTGGTTTCACTGACCTGATTCTGAGTTGGGAATGATGCGAATCATGGGTGAGTGGACTAACTTCAAGCTAGTGACTCGGAAAGAGTGCACCTCATGTCCATCCCGTTTAGAGTATGGTGCGAATGGAACACTGCTCTGCGATTCGCCGAACTCATTTGCCGCCAGACTCAGCCAGCTGGCCTGGCTGTGTGCTTCGGTCGGTGGTCTTCCTCTTGGCAGGTTTTAACCGGAGGAAGACTTGGGCGGTTCAACCCGTTGAAACCATAGCTCAAGCCACTGCAATTAAAACAAACTCCATTTGAATCACCTATGAAGACCGGGGTTTTATTGTTTAAAAAAAGACCTCCTTTTGGTTTCCCGTCAAAGGGGCCCAGTCTGTAGTTCTGCAAATAGTGTTTGCCCCCTCTATTCCAGGAGGGGAAGTAAATCAGATGGGATCGACAAAGTCATAGCAATCAAGATTTGAGTCTCAACATGAGAGGACCCGCTAAGAAACATGGTTGGTCTCTCTTTTGGTTTCCTTGACACAGCCCCTCAAAAAGGACTTGTTGAATAAGTATGGCATAACCATAGGCTTGCATGGTGTAAGTTGTAATGATTCGGCAGACCTCGACATGCAAGCCAGCAAGAATGTGTGTTTGTGCCTTGCGGGTACCCTGGCTTAGGCTGGATAAAGGCAAACCGAAAGGACAACCGCCATGTTCAGGGTCCACCAATTTGGACACTTCGGGCTTCCCATTTTCACACTCTCATGGCTTCGCCCCTCGGGCATCAGCCGCCCGACATCCCGCTTCGTGTGTGGCTCAACACTAAGGAGGGGCAAACCGCAGGTCTTGGTCCCTGTTTCCACTTCCCAGGGCAACCCATTTTGGACTTCCGGCTTTTTGCGCCACATCCCCCGCGCCTGGCACTTGGCCATGGCCGCGTTGCAGGAAGCGGCCGTCGGCCGCAGCGAGGCCCGCGCGAGCAGCGGCAGCAGCTGGGCCACGCGGCGCCAGGCGCCGGCGCCGCCGGCGCCGGCGATGGACGCGGCGCTGTTGAGGCTGATGGTGTCCTTGGGTCGGCTTCAGGTGAAAGGGGCGGGTTTTTTCGGCGGGTTATTAAGGAAAACGAGAGTATTTGGGGGTCCCCCGATTTTTTGAGGCATAAGAGGTTCGTGGCTTCCAGGGTTCGATACATTGGCGGGTTGGTTGCGAAAATTGCGACCGGTGGGCTTCTGACTCCTTCCATGAGCTCTGGCTGGACCAAGCAATACATCTCTTGGATATGTGCCAAAGTTGGTTGCGGAATGTGTAACAACCAGACCCTGGTCATCTTCTTAAAGTCAAACCAAAAGGAGGTTCTTGAACCAACAGTAGTTGTAACATGTTTAGACAAGGGGGTGGCCCAACTGTGCCTTCCAGGAAGAAGCATTCCGGATCTGTTTGCCCCCTGGCGGCAAGCGTTGCTTGCAAATCCAAGCAATAGATCACGTGGGCGCAGGCTCTTTCACTCACCCAGCCGGAATTAATCTCTAGAAAAATCGACGAACAGGGTCGTTCCCTAAATAGTTGGGATGAACCAATTCTGGTGGTTGAAACAAAGGAGGTTCAGTGAAAATGAGCTTCCCAAATGGGTTCATCATGGAGGACCCTTGGGCAACAAGCCTGACGAAGTCAAGAGAGGGATTATTTCTCTTGCAGCAAGTTCGAGCAGAAGTTACTCCGACTAGCATATAAGAACCTGGAGTATGAGCATCAGGCAATCAAGTGAGAGAAAAACAATAAGCATGATTTCAATGTCGTTTGGTCTTCGATGTCTTTTTTGTTTTTGGTGTCTTTGGCCACCTTTTCCAAGATACTGTAACAAGTATCGATCACTTCATTCCTTTACTGAATCTTGAGTTCAGACACTCTGAGCATTGTACTTTTAACATCCGGAGGAAATCCCCAGTCACTGCGCAAGAAGCCCGAACAAGGGATCTGGATGGGGAGTATCCTCAATGCGTGGACATGCATGTCTATGAAGGATGCCCACAGTACTTCCCCCAAGATTCATAACCCAGCTTGAAGCACCAGCTTCGGAACCAAGACTCAACCATCAATGTTGACACCAAATTCCTCAACGACCGAGTGTCCCATATGAGGGAGGAGCTGGATCACCTCTGGGGAGTTGCACTGATCCACAGATTTCTCGATTCTCAGTCATTGTCATTTGGCCATGGGTCAAAATCCCGTAACCCCAGTGAACATCCCAATCGCGCTAAAATAGGTTCTAAAATGGGTGGTGAATTCACCTACCAACCAAAATGGGATCCCAAAACGGTTTTGACAACCACAGCCATTTGGGTGTGACTCAAAATTAAACAGGAGGGGCAAACCGCAGGTTTTGCCCCATGTTTTCACTTACCAGGGCAACCCATTTTGGAATTCCGGCTTCTTGCGCAGCCATTTGGCCACCCGGGTCGACGTTGAAGAGCCACCGAGCCCGAGCGTCGAGCTCCACCGCGCAGCTCCTGGCGCCGCAGAGGCCCCGCAGCGCCTGGCGCCACGCGGAGCCTTCGGCGGCCGCGAGGGCCGAGTTGTGGCTCACCAGGTCCGGCCTCACCTCCGCTGCCTCGGGATGGGCTCGACTCGATGTCGAAGGCAGGGCTGGAGTGGTTGGGGCGGGGGAGGGGGTGCTGATGCCTAGTCGGTGGAAAACAAAGGGGACCCCGCAAAACCAAAAGATCGAAAAGGGGAGCTAATTCTGGGGAAGTTGTTTGGGGGAAAAGCGCCGGGTCCCAAAATGGAAAAAATCGCTTCCTCTTATGGTTTCCCGGGAAAAAAATGAAGCAACATACGAGAAAGGGGCAGATGGCCCGCACAAAAAGACACACCCAAATGGTGCTTATGTTCTTTGGGCAAGGGGATGACTGACTTCAAAATCGGACTGGCTAGAAAAGCCTGAGCTTTGCACAGCAGTTTCCTTGGGACTTCCGTTGCCAAAGCCCCTGGCGTGAAAGTAGATGGAATGACTGAACTCACATGAGCGGCGTTCAAAAGGTCTTGTTCAAATCTAGGTCGTAAGGAGCTCTTACGCCAAGGTGCTTGGGCGAGCTTACGCGCAATACTGGTTTTCTTACGCGCTTGCATTTATATAAGCTTCCCTTGCGCAAACCTTGCGCGCAGCTCAGGCGAAAACAGTTCCTTACGAAACTGGATGGTTTCCTTACGCCCGCTTTCGCCACACACGCACACGCACGTCCCACCCGCATCCGTCCACACACCTTTTGCCCCCGGCTCATTTCACCAACTGGGGGGTTTCCCCCCCCCCCGCCAAAAGCCAGCCAATTGTGCCACACAGCTGCGCCGCGCGGAGCTGAACCCCCAAAAACCCGGAAAAAACGCGGCCTTCCAAATGCACAAAACCAAAAACGAATTAGCGGCGCGCACTAATTCGTTTTTTGCGTTTTCCACTCCCCAGCCACGTTTTGCCAGCTAACCAGCCTCAAACAGGCATTCGTGACATGCACTAACTCCGTTTTTGGGTGTTTGAGCCCCTAACAAGACATTCCAGGTGCCCAAGACCAAAAACGAATTAGCGGCACGCACTAATGGGTGTGTCTCAAAATATCCTGTTTGGATGGGTTTTAAGGGGGAAGCCAAGGCGTTCCATTGTTTTCGAGTTCCTTCTTGGGACTCCCCAACCATCCACTTCTTGAAACAACCAGGACACCCAAACAAGGTCCCGTGTTTTTTTTGGTCCCAAACCGACGTTGCTTGGGGGTTCAGGAGACCCCCCCTCCCTCCCCGCCCCGCCCAAAACTCTACAGATTGATTCCCCATTCTTTTCAACCATCCTTCTTTTCAAAAACCGCTCGCTGTTTCCCCGTTCTGATGGTTTTCCGGAAAGATTCGGATGCCTGGAAAGAATGGAAATGGAAGGTGCTAGACTCGTTTCCTTTGGGGTCCATGACTTTCCATGCCTAACCCCCCACAAAAATGACAACGCACCCTGTGAAAGAATGGAAATGGAAGTGTCCCCCCCACCTCACCCCACCTCCCCCCCTCCCCCCCAAACCCCCGCCGCCCAAAAGACGGGCGCTGCCGACTTCGCGCTTCAAGTTGGTCGCGGCCGCGGCGCCCGCATCTCCGGCAGCCAGCCGCAGGCCCGGCGCCAGGCCCTGGCGGCCGCGAAGGCGCCCAGGGCCAAGTTCTGGCGGAACACCTCCCGAGTCGCCCGGGTTGGTGCTTGAAATTTGGGGGCTTGGGGTTGAAGGAAAACGGGAAACTGATAATTGTCTCTTCTTCTTCTTCTTCTTCTTCTTCTTCTTCTTCTTCTTCTTCTTCTTCTTCTTCTTCTTCTTCTTCTTCTTCTTCTTCTTCTTCTTCTTTTTAGGGGGGGGGTTTAACTGAGGCGAGAGGTAGCTGTTTGGTTGGGTTGGTTTAAAGGGAAACCAACGGGGGCGAGCAGCACAAAAATGCATAGTTGCTGCATGTCCCAGTTTGTCACAAGCAAAAAAGCAACGGCAAACATGGAAGATCGGGAGCGTCTCTCAGTTGTTTACGTCTTAAGGCGCCAGAAGGCCCCTGGCCACATCTTCCCAATTCATCGATCGCGCCTCGCTGCCGCGAAGGCGTCGCAAGGCGTCGCGCCATCTCGGAAGGTCCAGGAGATCTCCCTCAACCCCCCCCCAGACCACAACCGGGGGATGGACACTCGGGTCATGTTGGTCCTCAAGGATCTGAGCGCAGCTTCAAGGCTTCTGGCGATGCTAAGCCGCTAAGCCCTTCAAGATAGGCGATGTTTGGCCCGGATGCTGGCGCAAACTGGCTCCTTCCCAGGGCCGATGGTCCTTCCGGCTTCCAATGCTCCCGGAAGCCAGCATCTGGGGAGAAAGACCAGAAGCAAGGATAAAGGAGCGACGTCCCTCCCGTGTGGGCGCCCTCTTTCGACAGGCCCTCTTTCTGGGCCAGACTTAGACCCACTGCAAAAGAGATGGCTGTGGCTCAAAACCAAGGTGCCCAAAATGCGCCGATTTGGCATGCTTGCCCCACCTGTTTAACGCTACAAATCGGACGACAGAACCCCACATTTCTTTCCAGCGTTGCGCCAAGCGGCGGGGCGACCATTCATAATGCAAGCAGCGCGACTGGGCGATGCAAGCGGCGATGTGGGGCCTAGTGAGTGAACTGCGCCTGAAGTCGCGCCAACAGAATCAGGTTGCCTGAAGCATGACCCAAGACTGCAAGACAAGAGAACACGCTTGAATTGTGTTTGAAGAGAGGCTCCGAAGCTCGGCATTGATCTCGTTGGTTGCATGCTAAATCACGGAAGGATGAGACGCTTATTTCGAATGTTTCCTAGCAAACCGCCAGTTCATCGGACTGGCAATGTCTCTGCCGCGTGTAAGCCGGACTCAATTGCGGGAGCCATCCATGCAGTTCCCAGAGTCGCAATTCAACTCGACGGCCATTCACGGTTGCAATGACATAGGAAGCGGTCTCTGGTCAGCGAATCTTCACAATTCAACTCGACACGCCTCTTCTATGTTTCCTCTGGCTCGCGCGGATGTCACCACGGCTCCATTCAGAGCAAGGGGGGCACCCAAATCTTTAAATGTGCATCACACACCGTCCCTTCCCAAGAAACCATTCATTTTCCCTGATTCTAACAACTGAGGCTACGCATGGGAAGGTCCACTGAATTCAATGGCCCAGACTCACTTCCAGTATATGCTGGGAAAAAACGCCACGCGTCTCCGGGCCAACCCTAAAGCAAGCTTCGCCAGCGCAGAAATCCTCTGGCCGAATCCCATGCGCTTCGCGCTCCAAGCCCTCGGACTTCTCAACTCAAAGCCGCCTGGCGCCGGGCAAAAGGCCCCAAGGCCCCAAGCTCTGAACAGGCCCTTCCCCGCATGTCTTCGACGTGTGCAGGAGAAAGAAAATGGCGAAGTGGCATTCAAATTGGGGCCTCCCTCATTTCTGGACTTGGTTCCTTGATGGTACTGCAAGGCCCGAAAAAGACTCGACCGAAACCTGCTTTCTGCAACCAGGCTCCCTATATGTGCCCCTAAACATCACACCACTTATCTGAAACTCATCTAAACGTTGTCCAAACAGGTGATGTTTAAACGGGCTGCACAGGGAAATGTAGACCCCTGTCCAGACCGGCTACTTCAAGAACCACCTCATCCAAAACCACCGGTTGTCGTTTGTGCATTTCTTGGGGAAAGCCCCAAATTAGACGGGCGTCCCCTTGTTGAAGCTAAAAGCATACTGTTCCACCTTCCGGCACGTGCTTCCAAACGCCATGACTGGGGTCCATTGGGTCCCATCAAGTTGGTCAAAACACTTTCCCCTTCACGTCCACTGGAACCCTCGCACTGGCTCTAAAAACCAACACCGCCCCAAAAGTCACGTTGAGAACTCCCAACTGCAACCAGTCAGTTGAAAGTTTCCCCAAAAGATCCTAAGATGCCAACCCAGCCACCCAACCACCCAGCCAGCCACCCACCAACCACCCACCCGTTTTTCCCCCGGCCTTCCGTCGGAAGGATCTCGGCCGCGCGCGGGGCTCCAGATCCAGTTCCAGGGCTGGCGCGGCAGAGGCCGGCGCACCTGGAGCGAACCGCGCGGCGCGTCCTCGTCGCGAAAAGATCTCCGTGCGTATGAATATACCTAGAACCACATGTGAATAGATATATAGATATAGATATAGATATACATGTACATGTTGGTCTACATATAGATACAGATACAGATACAGATATAGATATAGATATAGATATTGACATAGATATAGATACAGATATAGAAAAAGATATAGAGATACAAATAGGCATGGCATAGACATAGACATAGATATAGATTTTGACATGGACATAGACATGGACATGGACATAGATATATATATATATATACATATAGATATAAATATAGAGATAGAGATAGATAGATAGATAGAAAAGAAAGAAAGAAAGAAAGAAAGAAAGAAAGAAAGAAAGAAAGAAAGAAAGAAAGAAAGAAAGAAAGAAAGAAAGAAAGAAAGAAAGAAAGATAGATAGATAGATAGATAAGATAGATAAGATAGATAAGATAGATAAGATAGATAAGATAGATAAGATAGATAAGCTAGATAAGCTAGATAAGCTAGATAAGATAGATAAGCTAGATAAGCTAGATAAGATAGGTAAGATAGATAAGATAGATAAGATAGATAAGATAGAAAAGATAGATAAGATAGATAGATAGATAGATAGATAGATAGATAGATAGATAGATAGATAGATAGATAGATAGATAGATAGATAGATAGATTAGATAGATAGATAGATAGATAGATAGATAGATAGATAGATTAAATAGATAGATACATAGATAGATAGATAGATAGATAGATAGATAGATTAGATAGATAGATAGATAGATAGATAGATAAATGGATAGATGGATAGATAGATAGATGGGATAGATAGGATAGATAGGATAGATAGGATAGATAGGATAGATAGGATAGACAGGATAGATAGGATAGATAGGATAGATAGGATAGATAGGATAGATAGGATAGATAGGATAGATAGGATAGATAGGATAGATAGGATAGATAGGATAGATAGGATAGATAGGATAGATAGATAGAATAGATAGATAGATAGATAGGATAGATAGATAGATAGATAGATGGATAGATAGATAGATAGATAGGATAAATAGGATAGATAGATAGATAGATAAATAGATTAGATTAGATTAGATTAGATTAGATAGATAGATAGATAGATAAATAGATAGAGATAGATAAACAGATAGATAGACAGGTAGATAGACAGATAGACAGATACGCATATTATATGTAATGTGTAGCGTAGCTAACATACGAATCGACGTACTGCAATAGAGTTGGAGAGAGAGAGAGAGAGAGAGAGAGAGAGAGAGAGAGAGAGAGAGAGAGAGAGAGAGAGAGAGAGAGAGAGAGAGAGAGAGAGAGAGAGAGAGAGAGAGAGAGAGAGAGAGAGAGAGAGAGAGAGAGAGAGAGAGAGAGAGAGAGAGAGAGAGAGCGAGAGAGAGAGAGAGAGAGAGAGAGAGAGAGAGAGAGAGAGAAGAGAGAGAGAGAGAGAGAGAGAGAGAGAGAGAGAGAGAGAGAGAGAGAGAGAGAGAGACGTTAAAATCGGTTGTTACTTTGCTTACAAGTGCAAGTGTTGTAATGTTCAAACAAACAGTCAACCAATGTAGTCTGCAGCTGCCAACCTTTTGACTCATGCGGAGTAGTAAGCTCAAGGCCTGCGGTAGTGAACATACATGCAACAAGAGTGCAAAGTGAAGCATGTAGTTTGACACGGCCCCTCAGTTAAAAGGTCTTTGTAGTACCTTTTCAACTGAAGTGCAAAACATGGATTGACAGTAGTGATGAAAACCATTGTTGTTCATCAATTCTACTGTATTGGCAAAAGTAGTGACCTGCGCTCAGTAGTTCACGCTGTTCAGGTTCCAGCTCGATGTAGGGCGCTGGACGGAAGTAGCGAAGGCAGGCACTTGTTGTAGTAGAGCAGGAGCTCAAAAATGTAGTCCCCAGTTCTGGGTGCGGTAGTCTTGGACCTTCTGTAGTCAACTGTCCAAGGTCGCGTAGTAGTTGGTGGTGAAAAAGGTTGTCATGTAGCTTGGAGCTCCCCGTAGTCGCTCATCATCAATCTCGGGACACGACATGTGTTGGTCGTAGTCCCGTAGAAAGCGGTGTAGTAGTGCTTTGTGGTGTTGTGTGAGGTTGGTCATTGTGAGTAGTGTGAAGCCGTAGTGTTGGATGCTTTTGCAGAGGATTGTAGTGATTGCTTTGTGCTGGAACTCGTGTAGTTGGTCTCGGTTGTAAAGGTAATGGAGTAGTTCAGGTAGAAGTAGTGGCATGTGGTAATTCCAAACGTAGTTGTTCCTGAGGCTGTAGTTGTCAGTGAAGGTGGTCATGTTGTAGTTCACCTTGAAGATGGTCTGTGGCAGTGTTGTAGTCGGGAGGTAGTAGTTGTGTTGTACCGACATCATGTAGGAGATGTAGTCCCTTGTGAAGTGTAGAAATTGTCCTGAAGTGAGGTACCTCAGGAGTAGTGGTTGTTCAATCTGGAGTTGGATGATGACGTAGTTGGTGTTGTCACCAGTTGTAGTGTGGAGTGAGGTCGTGTGGTAGTAGTGGACATTGGCTGCTTCAGGTAGTGAAATGCTGAGCAGTGTAGAATTGTAGTGTGGCATCCGAAGATCTCCAGGGATGCAGTGAATGGGGCGTGTGTAGTCCAGTTGTGCCAGTGGAGTAGCTTGTTGTTGTGAGAGTAGTTGATACTCTTCAAGTGTAAATGCAGTGAAAATTTGTGTGTAGGGAATGTTGTTGGGCAGTGGTGGTGCAGTGGTTGTCTGGTGCTCAGTGATGTGTAGTTGGTCCATCACTGCGGTCGGGTTGTAGTAGACGGTGTTGCCGGGTGTAGAATGGTTGAAGTGGTAGTTGGAGTCGTTGAAGGTTTGAGGTGGTGGAGTTCCATGGTCACTGGAGTCCGTAGTGACCGCCACCTCAGGTGTAGTCGCCCTGTCGGGCGTAGTGGCGTCTCCCATCGTAGCATCTGCAGTAGATGGAGCGGCCATGGCTGCAGTGGAATGCAAAATGTAGTGAAACGGGGCAAAACAAATGAGCCTAAGTAGTTGCTACCAGGCAGTCGGCGAATGCAGACATGTAAAACAAACAACTGTAGTGTTGACTCAAGCCGCCAAAAGTGCAAGTGAAAGTACATGTAGTTACTGTTACTTACATACCAAAAGTGTCGTGTTACATGTAGCTACTTACATACATGAAATGTCCAAAGTCGTTGTTGTTGTTGTGAAACTGCTGCGCTGGTCGTTCGTAGTGCTAGATGCGTATTCCAATGCTCTGGATGAGCCTGTGTAGTGTTTCTTTGCTGATGTATTTGGTAAACAAATCTGCGCTGTTGTGGAGTGTGTTGATCTTAAGGATTCTGATGATGTCGTGCTTGATGAGGTCTTGTGTGTAGAGGAATTTGAGGTCGATGTGTTTTGCTCGTTTGCTAGTGCCTTGTCGTGTAGCAATGCTCTTGCCTGCTGTGGAGTCTGTGTGGATGCGTAGGTTTAGCTTGCTGCAAATGTTGGTTTCAAGTAGGAAGTTTCTGAGGTGTAGTCCCTCATTAACTCCTGTGCAAATGGCGTAGAGTTCAGACTCTGCTGAGCTAAGTGCTATTGTAGCTTGTGTTCTGCTGCCAAATGCAACTGTTGTTCCTAGAAAGATGATGTTGAAACCTGAAGTTGATTTCCTGGTAGTAGGGCATCCTGCCCAGTCGGCATCGACATGAACGTCGAGATCCAGGATGTTGTTGGTGTTTGCTCTGAGTGTTGTTGTTGGTTCTATGGTGAATTTGTAGTGCTTGGTGCCGTGCAAGTAGCGTAGTAGATGTTTGACTCTCTTTTGTGAAAGTTCTGTAGGTGCTGTGAGGTCTCGTGCTAGTTCTTTTGTGGAGTATGCAATGTCTGGTCGTGTGTATGCTAACCATTGAAGTTTGCCAACAATTCTTCTGTACCTTTTGTGTTGTTTGTGGTCAAGTAGTGCTTCATCTTCTATTGTTGGTTTGTAGTGTGCAATTCCTGGAGTGTTTACTGAGTTGCAGTTGTTCATTCCAGACTCCTCGATCATGTTGTCGATGTAGGAGTCCTTTAGTCCAAGATTGCAGTAGTTGCCGAAGTGGTCGATGTTTCTTCCAAGAAATTGTTGTGGTTTGCCAGGTTCGAGGTAGCCGATGTGCTTGAGTAGTACCTGCTTCTGGACGGCCTCGAAAGTGGAGTCGACTGCGGTCTTGTCTCCAAGTACTAGTAGATCGTCCACGTAGACCATGATGTAGCAGTCGCGAGTCGCATTGGTGTAGACGTTGGGTTCTGACTTTAGTCTTACAAAGCTGAGCTTTTGTAGAACTTCAGCCAGGTAGTCCTGCCATGCTTTCGGTGAACTTCGTAGTCCATACATGGCTTTCTTTAGTCGCCAGATTTTGTCCTGTTGTGGACAAAGTTCTTTAGGTGGCCAAAGGTAGACGTCACGTTGTTTACCGTCGTGGTCTTTTGCGATGGGTGCGTGTAGAAATGCTGTAGAGACGTCACCTAGTCGCGCGATCCAGTTTGGTCGTGACATTTGTAGTGCGAGAAGTGTCCGGAGTGTCGTGAACATTGGTGTAGAGGCGTAGACGGAGTCTTCGTCCTCGATCTTCTCGGTGTAGCCTTTTGCGACGATTCGGCTTCGTACTCCTGGTCCTTTCTTTCTGTGTACCCATCTTGTAGGTATCGCTTCTCTGATGACGTTGTCGTTGACGGTAGACGCATCTACTTCGTCGTAGACGTCGTGTAGTTTCATTTGGTTTGACTCGTGTTTCATTCCTTCCAGTAGTTGTGTTTCGTCGTAACCTTCGTTGTCGAAGATTATGGGTTGGTCTTCTGAGGTGTCGTCGTTTGTGTAGGGAGTGATGGATTTTCCGTTGGGAAGTGTCACTGCGTTGGTTTTCTGTCGTAGTGGTGGTGGTTCTTTGGTTGCTTGTTCCGTTGATCTTATTGTAGTGTCCTTTGAGGTCTTCTGTGCTTTAGTTGGT